TGCGTCTACGCGGTAGCTAGGCGTCGTCGTCAGTACAAAAAGCAACAACAAAACAATGAATGTCTGTAAAATATAGTCATTTTTTAAAATTGCGTTACAATTAGGTGCTAGGCCAATCTTGGTCGGCGGCGTGCGTCTACGCGGTAGCTAGGCGTCGTCGTCAGTCAAAACAACAGCAATATTGTTTGTTTGTAAATAGTGATTATATTCAATTTAACATTTACATAATTTGTATACATGTATCTCCTTTATATAAAGGGCAATAAATATATACATACATACATTACAGATGGGTACAGCTAACAGCACGTTGCTCCATCTAAGTTCTCTCTCTTATCCTATGCCAAGTAGAGTTTTAGGGAGATAAGTTGGTAAGATATATCCTGTATCCCGATTTTAAGGTTTCCATATCCTGAACCTCCATATCTCCCGCCATATCTCCCGCTCCAGAGCATATATTCCCGCTTCGAAATTTTTTTTTAAAAATGTGAAAAATTGAAAAAAAGAAAAAAATGTGAAAAATTGAAAAAAATAAAAAATTGAAAAAAAGAAAAAATAGAAAAAAGAATTGAAAAAATTGAAAAATGTGACAAAATATTAAAAAAAAAATTGAAAGAAAATTAGAAAACTCTACTTGGTATGGGATAAAGCAGTTATGTATTGTACAGTCGGTTTGGATATTGGGTTCATCCCTCGTGAGATATGCACATCTACCTTCGGTCCCTACGGTCCCTCAGGTAGATATGCATATCTCCCTCTGGATAAACCCCATATCCAAAACCTCCCAATACATAACGCTTATATATTGACATATCTCAAGGATTCGAGAATGGACCGACACAATGAATTAGACCCTGGATCCCTAAGTACACAGACATTTCAACGAGGACAATTTGATATGTCTAAAAATTAGGTTTTCAGTCAGAGGGTGCGATTGTGGCATAAACAAGCCCAAAAATTAAGAATTATCTTGAATTTTACAAAAATTAATGCAACTTCCTTCACCCATTGCACCCCCCCCCCCCGGCTACGCCTATGCCCTTGTGACCCCATCGTCACTACAACAAGTGTGATAAGCTGTAAAGTCAAGTAGAGGGGGGGGGTCACAGAGGCTTGGAGATTCATTGCATATTTTGAACACTACACCGTTGCTTGTTATACATAAACAGTTGATTGAACACCTCACTGTAATAAAAGTAAATGAGATAGAAGCCAATGCTGCAACGCATATACACTGTGTATGTATAGCGTTGCTTATGTTGATTGCGTCATATTGTATGGTTTGATGACGCAGTAATGCCTTGGTCACATAGGCTCCGATTTTCACTACGGCGCCCGGCCGATTAGTATTTTGTTCGAAATCGGCAGGCGAGCCCGGGCATCGTACGGGCGCCGGGCGATGATCGCCACTCATCGGCCGATTTTTAGACATCGTACGGGCGCCGGCAGAGTTTTATCGCGGAGATAAAAGTTGCCGATGTCTTGGCGATTTTTTCTCAACCAAACTCATCGGTACCTACCCGGCCGTGTCCCGCCCGGTCATCGTACGATTATCTTACGGCGCCCGGTGGCATCGCACGGTCATTTTGGGATTTTGCGTGCTGATTTGTTTGATAAATCTTAATAATGTTTACTTATAAAGTGATACAAAGGTTTTAAAAAGAATGAGGTAAGGAATTATAATTACTACACACTGTCAGAGATTTTTTATAAAACATAAATGGAACGATTAGGCTTACTGTAAAACAATGACACACATTTGAATGGCTGGATGGGTGGGTTGATCTAGTCGTTCTTACACTGACATTAATCGTGTATGTCTGTCATACACATTGAATAGAGTGATACATTTTTATGCGTATATTCACCCATGCATATACTACAAATCATTTATTTTCAAAATCTTCTGAATGTTTTTGTGAGTACAGTATTTTCAAGGGTCACAATTTTAATACCAATAATATATAAGGCCAATGGGCCATATATGAGGAAGGCCTTGGGAAGACAGGTGGAAAAAAAAGACAATAACAATGCTAGTGAGCTGGTGGATGATGAATATTTAGATGTGTCTAGGGAAGAGGGTAATACTCCACTTGAAATAGAAGAAAAAATTGCCAATTTCTTTGAAGATAGGCCATATTTTTATGACCAAACAAATTCTCTTTACGAGAACAGACAAAAGAAAGATGCAGAAATAGGGAATTTTGCTAATAGCATCGGATGGACAGGGAGTAGACATAGTATTTGTTTATATGAAAGATCTAAAAATGAATTAAGGTCAGGGTGCACTTTGATGAAAAGACCACGTGCAGTATGGCAAGTGATTTAATACGGTCATATCTTTCACCATGAGTACTTTCTGGGCATAAATACAGTGTTTTTATTTAAACAATATGTTTTCTTTCAATTGAAGTACCCGTGATAGTAAAAATATCAATCAAACAATTTGAAAAATTATGAATAGGGACCCCATGTCAGCTTTTTTCTAAATATTGAACCTATTTACTCAAAAGAGTATCTTCTTTTTCTGATTTTTATTGCATGAAAACATTATTATCCTGGAAGTCCTTTCTATCGAAATATTTCGTTTTCAAATCTTGCATTCACGCCATGTGGAATAGTCATACTGGGTCATACAATAATTTAGTATAAATCTAGAGGCCTGTAGATCGACCGATGTCCTGGCGGGTGCCGTACGGCCATCGGCAGATAGCCTTGCGATACCCGTGCGATGTCTTTCAGATTCAATTGATTGCGGGCGCCGTACGATGCCTGTACTTATGTGACCATACTCACGATTAGATCAAGACATCGGTGGAAAGTCACCGGCGCCCGGTCGATTTAGAAATCGGCCGATGACCACTCATCGGCCGGCGCCCGGCGGCTATGTGACCTAGGCATTAGAAATACGTTTATAGGTAGCCTAGGCTACAATTAATCTAACTGTTAATGCCTGGGTCACATTTGCTCCAAATCATCGACCGGCGCCCGGCCGATTGAGTGTTTTGTTCAATATTGTATTCAATTTTGAACAAAATACTCAATCGGCCGGGTGCCGTAATGAAAATTGGATCAAATGTGACCAAGGCAGAAATAGCATTGACCAACTGTTGATTCTACCCATCAATTGCATTATCACTACCTATTAATTGGTACTGTCCAATCATTGGTGCAACCCATTCATTAGCGCAATCGTTTAATTACAGTGTTTCATTTCATGTATTTTCTATATCTGATCATGAAACAGGATGCTAAAATAGTTAAATGAGCATTGTCAATGCCGTTGTTTTTTTGTGAAATAAAAAAAACTACATTGAATTATGTTTGATTTCTATCAAATCCTGATCAGGCGTTCACATCAATGTGTTTTTTACACACTATATACTGTATTATTAAGTTGAATCGATGAATAGCTTGGTCAACACAAGGTTTTGACGTTTTTGTGTATTCAGGATTTGTTTAAATTGGATTTCAATGTTGCCAATTATCTTTATTTTAGCAGCAATTTTAGGGAAGTTAAAAATAATCGTTGAATTCTTAGAAATGAATGGTTACCATTTATGGTGAATAAAAGTTTAACCTGAAAATCTACTTAAGGTGTTCTCGGAATTATATTCAAGATCAGCATGCATACACTTGAATTAAGAAAATAATTGGCACAATTTTTTAATGAATTCATCACGAATGACAATTGTCAAATGAACCATTAGCGTGAATACATGGGTTTTGCCAAGTTGAACTTACTAAACTGAAGTATGGGTAGACAATGGATAATAAAACGCGTCAGTGTGTGTTTCTCCTAAGATGTGCTTGGTCTTAAGGGATAGTGTATCTTCGTAGATAAAGTTACTGAAAATGTATTTATATGTTAACACTATAAATACAATTTATTTCATTACATCTAATTGTTGTTCTTTTTGTAAAATGCATTTGTATAGAGTTTAAACCTCTAAAATGTAAAATGTATTTTCATAAATCAGGTAAGCAAGTCTGGCTGTTTAGATAGCTGTCTGATATGGATTAAAAGCTGACAGCAGAGACCGTGTCTGCTAAAATGATATAACCCAGGACAACATTGAAAAAAGCTAGATTATTTTCTCGATTCACCGAATATGTTCTATTTGATTGTTAACTATAAGATTTACATCGGATTTAGTCCTAGCTTCTCCAGCTTCTTAATTCCTGCTAAGCTAAATGTTCTGAGACATGTTTACTATGGGTTTTTGCAGTATGGCTATTTTTGTAATCCAAAATTGCTTTCAGATTTTAGAATCAGTCAAATGTATATTTTGAATAAAGTATATAGCAGATTTGATCTTCATGATTTAAAGAAACAAAATGCGTTTCAATGTCGGCAAATTAACTAGCTTGCGAATCGAGGTATATTATATCTATTTACAATTGTCGATGAGGGGGAGAGGGCTTAACAGCTATATACAGTTTGAAAAAAATATCATATCCTAATTCCTTTGCATTCAATGTGACAGTATACAGACATTTTCTATTGAAAATGTTCGGTCACAACAAAGTAGATGCATGATGACGTAATAAACAAGTGCACTACATGAATTATGTATCAAAACTATATTGATCTTTGATATTGATCAAAACATCCCATACTCGTTTATTGTTATTTTAAAAACGTTAAATAGTTTTTTAATTTAATCGGGATTTAAGGATGAATACGCCATTCGTTATTTATTCTTAGTGGACTTCAATACACGCTACATTTTGCATCTCCCCGAATGACCAGTCGAATTATAGCTCATTGAATTAAAAGGACTTCAGACATTACCTGCCAAATTTTATTTAAATTAATATTAAATTACACAGGTAGATCATATTAAGCGTAAGAAAATCTTGACAAATTGAGAAAAACACACTGTTGTTATGGTAAATACTTCCTGGTCCGTCCGAAAAAGGAGAAATGTCACAACTCGATAGGCCAGGTGTAGTTACTTCCTGGTCAGCCCTATAAACTCGATTCTAGGTAACAAGTGGTCAGTACTGGTCAAGCGGAAAACCTTCCTTGTCAAACCCTATAAATAACAATACATTTATTAAAGTCTGCATATCAAATCTGAAAAATCGGAAGAGACTTGGAGGAGCGAGAATCTTGGTTTGAGTTGCATTGTGCCTTGCGCTATAATTGGTACGTTTTATTTATTATTTTCTTTTTATATTTTATACATGTCTATTATTTGAAACATTTAACGTTCTTATCGTAATCATATTTTATGATAATATTGCATGCATATATTGAAAAAATAGTGTAATAGTAGGAAATGATAATTAGAATATCGAATAGGTAAAAATAGGTTAACGTTTAAAGCGATATGGCACTCTTGTAAAAGTTTATATTGAAAACAGTAGGCATACTATCAACTAACACCCCAGTCACATTTGTCGCACGGCGGCCGCAAGTCGACCGCAGATCAATTAAATCGGTGAATTTCTGCGGCGAGCGTAGAAAAACTACGCTCGCCTTGCGGCCTCCGTACGGCGTATGCAGATTTTTACAGGCCGCATGGAAGGCGTAGAAATTATAACTCGGAGTTATAATATTTGTTCATTTCTGAGGTCCCCGTAGAAATCAACTGGCTCAACAAGATTGGATCATTATTTGTCAATGTTTCACGATCACTTTTCATTTGATATTACATCCTAGCACTATGAATAACATTTATGAATGTAAATAAAATGAAAAAAGTATTATTTATCGACAGAAATTTAAAATTCACCGTGCGGCTGCCGTGGGAAATGTGACTGGAAAAGTATGAGAGCGCAGAAATTCCACGGCGAGCGTAGAAATGTTACTGGCCGCAGAAATGATAGACCGCAAGGTCGCCGTAGGAAATGTGACTGGGGTGTTAGACACGTCGCAATAAGTTCGCGAGCGTATTGTTACACATTTTCGCTCTTTAACATGACAGAATCTGACGTTTTTGGGGAAAACGTGCACATATGGAAATTCTTTTGTCCTCCACATTACCCTCTGTATCTCAAAACATTTAGGATGAATAACTCTGATATCTTAGATATATAGACAGGCGGTTAGGAGCATCATAAAACACGAAATATTTGATATTTTAGGTAAAGATAACATATGTGTTGCTATCTTTGAAAATAGGTGAATGGCGTAAATTAGGCCTATTTAAGAGAATTTTAAAACCTTTCGTCATCCGCTTTTACCTCAGATTTTTGGGTAAAAACTCTTTATTTCAAAAAACGAACTAGAATTGTGAAAGAAGTGTACCTTATTTCAAAACTTCATAAAAGCAGCTTCAAAATGATATATTACTTTAATTAGAATATTATCTTATATTACGAAGAATGAAAGTTACATTTATGCGACACCCTAAAAACACACACGCCCGACCTGTTTCCTGTCTTAGGATTGAGTCCTGTATTACACCCCAGTCACATTTCCTACGGCGACCTTGCGGTCTGTCATTTCTGCGGACAGTAACATTTCTACGCTCGCCGTGGAATTTCTGCGCTCTCATACTTTTGCAGTCACATTTCGCACGGCAGCCGCACGGTGAATTTTAAATTTATGTTGATAAATAATACTTTTTTCATTTTATTTACATCGGGACAATTTATAAATGTTATTTATAGTGCTAGGATGTAATATCAAATGAAAGGTGATCGTGAAACTTTGACAAATAATGATTCAATCTTGTTGAGCCAGTTGATTTCTACGGGGACCTCAGAAATGAACAAATATTATAACTCAGAGTTATAATTTCTACGGCGACCCTGCGGCCTGTAAAAAACTGGATTCGCCGTACGGAGGCCGCAAGGCGAGCGTAGTTTTTCTACGCTCGCCGCAGAAATACACTGATTTAATTGATCTGCGGTCGACTCCGTACGACAAATGTGACTGGGGTGTTACACCCCAGTCACATTTCCTACGGCGACCTTGCGGTCTATCATTTCTGCGGCCAGTAACATGTCTACGCTCGCCGTGGAATTTCTGCGCTCTCATACTTTTGCAGTCACATTTCCCACGGCAGCCACACGGTGAATTTTAAATTTCTGTTGATAAATAATACTTTTTTCATTTTATTTACATCGGGACAATTTATAAATGTTATTCATAGTGCTAGGATGTAATATCAAATGAAAAGTGATCGTGAAACATTGACAAATAATGATTCAATCTTGTTGAGCCAGTTGATTTCTTCGGGGACCTCAGAAATGAACAAATATTATAACTCCGAGTTATAATTTCTACGCCTTCCCTGCGGCCTGTAAAAATCTGCATTCGCCGTACGGAGGCCGCAAGGCGAGCGTAGTTTTTCTACGCTCGCCGCAGAAATACACCGATTTAATTGATCTGCGGTCGACTTGCGGCCGCCGTGCGACAAATGTGACTGGGGTGTTACGCGTACATCTTTAAATTCACAACTAATACGAATGAATTTTTGAAATCTAATAATCGAAACGATAAATATAGTGACCATGAATGTGATATTTGCTAAACTGGAGATTTTTGACTCTAAGATTGCTGTCCGACACTTTGAACTATTTAGTGAGCGAAAGTGGCTATCAAAATTTGTGTTAAAGCGAATTAATTACAATACGCTGTATTTAATAAAGTTGAATAGGACATTTTGATACATCAAGCAGTGGACAGATTCTCAATAGAAAATAATGATTAAGTGTGGGAACCGACTATGTAGATCGATTGTCTACCAAGTTTCGACTTTCTTCTCTAAAATGGATTACCTTTTCCTTTGAAATAATAAAATAAATTATTTAAAAAAACATAATTCAAATTATTTAGTTTTGAATTTCGAATACATGATATAATAGTCCAATTTAGATGCCAATGTATTATTTAGTATTTATAAATTGATGTCAATATGACATTTACAGTTAATTCAGATGTCAACGCATTACGTAACGGTTAACTTAAAAATGTCAATTCAGTGCATCATAGAAGCCTTTAACTCAGATGTCATGATCAATGCATTATATAACAAGTTTATATAGATTTCTCGCATTATATTACAGTTCAATTTATATGTCATGATTGAATGATACAACTGTTTTTTGTTTTTTTTAAAAGAACTATAAAACAACCCGATAAAGATGAAGTACCACGTTTTCCTTTTGCTCGCCTTGGTGTCTGCTGCGGTCCTGTTGGACAGTTCCGATGCGTGGAGGATCCGGATACGATTCCGACGTGTATGGAGGACAATTAAGTCCCCAGTATGCAGGTGAGGAGCTTTACTCACTTTTTAGTCTAGATTTATAAAGCCGAAATAAGTGCGGCTTTCAATGCATAACTGCATAACTTGTGCATAACTTGTGAAGCGAAGTGTCGAAGCAAAACGCTTTTTTATATCATGTATTTTGACACCTCATTTTGATATTAATGTAGGATAAAAAACTTTCATTGGCTCGTATTCAATTAGTCATTATTTATCACGTTCAGCCATTCATAGTGGATCATTTACGTTAATAGAACTGAAACAAACTTTACATGCTTCTTTCAGATGGGCAGTTTCGAAGGTGTGTAGGTATGTCGGCTGTACATATGCGGGTCCATATGGCTGTGTAGTTGCAAAATATGGTTGTTCCTGGGCAAGCAAAAAAGTTTGCGGTAGAAGAAGGAGAAGAGAATTGGTTGAGGTAAACGGATGTCCTTTAAAGACTTTTTGCTTTTTATAGATTTTGAAGAAGCTTAAATACGCTTTTTGTAGACTAGGAGACAGAGATTAACTATCGGATGTGATTGTGCACGTGATTAAATAATAACCAGGGGAAGATTTCCCAAAGTTCAACGTTGGTATTGGGTCACGTGATATCTACATGTATGTGATAGATCCACAAATGGCTAATAGTACCATAAATGAATCCAACTTACTTCTGTCCACTTTTTTAATTATAATGTCATGTGATAGATCCATATAAGGCTTGGGAGCTACTAACGTCTTCTGATTATAACCGTAATCTACTGTTACTAAATTGCAGGAGACCTTGGGAGAAGGCGATCATCTCATCCCATTACCAGCTCTATTTGAAACGTATGATCTGAATGGCGACGAGAAAATTTCTGTACAAGAGTTGGCCATTGCTACAGGGATGGATGAATTAGAAACGCTGAATGTTGCGTTCCCATTGTGTGACGTCGATGGTAAGTGAAAGTTTAGCATGAGATTGGTCCAACCGCAACCCGAGGCAAATATTTTGAAGAAAACAGAAGGATGTATGATTAGAAAAATAAAAAAAATGAAATATTATAATTTTAAAATGCCATAGGGCGTATTTAACACATATATTTTGAAAATGGCAATGCTTTATCGGGAGAGCATATTGAAGATTCGTAGATCAGTTGTTAAAATATTTATTTGTATGGCTAGTTTACTATTTTATTATTGTATGTCGCTTAACTGAATGTGCATGGTTGCCCGAGTTGTTAAGGGCAAGAACAACAAACCAGCTCTTTAAATGAAGAGCCCACTCAGAAAAGGTTAATCATTACTAAGGAGTTCTATTTTGAAGAAATACCATTGTTTGGTTCCAGGTGACGGCTTCCTGTCTCACGAGGAGTTTGTTAATTCCCCACTCATCTTTGAAGACCCAGAGGACATCAAAATGGGTAAGCAAAGCAAGTTTTGACATTTTATTTATATATCTGTATATGCTCTTGACCGATCAGAACAATACGTTACTGTTCATTATAATTCAGCAAATTAAAGAACCCCTACCCTATACAAAAGCTTCAAATCAGCATTTCGATTGGGTTTGACCAAGACCGATGAATTGATAACTCCAGGGAGCGAAACAGTTGAAGCATAGCACTGGTATAATATTGGTGTTAGATTGTACACTCATAATTTATCAATTTGTTTTATTAACCCACTCACCTATTTATCGACACTGATCGATGAACTACAAAATTACATTCTAAGAGAATTTGTTAAAAGTTCTTCATAGACCGTCTCTCTTATATTACACGTATTACATATATTACAAGTATTGAACACTTCACAAAGCAGACAGTAAGTGTTCTTCATTTTCAACCGTTCAAAAATATACAAAAACAATGATCTTAGGCCTCAGATAATTGTGTTCTATTTATATTTCCTTACCACTAAAAGTTTGCTGTATTTGGACGAAACAATTCCAAAAATGAAAAGTGATTATTTGAATGTGACCGTCTTTGCCATTTTGAAAAGTCTTTGAAAAACTGTTTGAAATATCCATTTACTAAACTTCCAAAGCGAATTCACAACCAATGGTGAATTAGAATGCAATTCATATTTATGAGAGACGGTGTAAATTTTGCTAGTACTCAAACACTCTACTATACCTAACCCCTAGAAATGCATAAGATACTCTGTTAGTCCAATTGTATTGTTTGTATTCGAAAGTACCTTATTAACATCTAACGTCATCCGATAAACCATTAATAAGGAACAGATAAATAAAAACAAATAACATAATCATTACTAATAAGCCAAAAGGGTTGCTCATGAACACCCAATGCAAGGTATATAGTAGAGTGTCAAATACTATTACCGCTTACTCGAAATGCTTTTAATCAATTTGTTTATTTTGCACTATTTCAGAACACAAAGATGTGGCTGAAGAAATGAAGGAGAGTGAAGACACCGAAACGTCGAATAAAGAAGCATCAAAAGGCGCTTCTGCTGAATCTGCAGAAGATGGGGGTGAAAGTGCTGCGGACGAGTTGAAAGCGTCCGATGAAGACGCCGTACCGACGAACAAACAAGGGATGTAAACAACAAAAAACATTTGAGACTAATCCTTTCTATTAATATTTTGAAATTGCTCTTGGAATTTTCTCACAATAGACATTTTTGATAATATGTATTCCTCTGTAGAAAGGACATAATGTGTTTCAAGATCAAAATGGTTTATGAGACTAATCTACATGTTTATAGTTCATCAAATCATTATCGTAAAAAGACATATGTACAGGGTGTCCCGAAAGTATGACCCCCCCCCCCCCCCAAGGCAGACATATACCAGTGTCGTCATAGTATGTGTCATATATCATTTCAAAGCTCATCCAAAGTTACATTCATTCACCAAGTATCATGCTTCAACTCTCAAATGTGAAAAAATACAGGCATTTCAAAATTTAGTGTTTGGTCAAAATTAAGTTCAATTCTACACCAAATCACAAGTCAATGTGTCCTTCCGGGCCATCTTAACAGCAGCAATTCTTTTCGGGTCGGATGGATATTGAGTTGGAAAAAGAGAATGGTAAGGGTAGAAACTCTAAGGAAACTCTTCTAAAGAGCCTTAACAGGCTTTAAGAGGGTTATAAAATTCCACACCCCTATTTGAAGGGCTTTTAAGGTCATATCTGAAAATAATTGCTGCTGTTCACATGGCCAAGGGGGGACTCATTGACTAGTAATTTGGTGTAAAATTGAACTTTATTTTGACAAAACACTAACTTCTAAAATGACTGTAACTTTTTCCCATTTGGGAGTTAAACCATGATACTTGGCAAATCAATGTAACTTTGGATAAGCTTTAAAATGATATATGACACATACTATGAGGACAGTGGAATATGTCTGCCTAGGGGGGCATACTTTCGGGACACCCTGTATACCTAAGTTACGTTGTATTATTTTTCACATCAAGACGAAGCCATTACTTTAAAAATATTAAGGACCATATCTCCGTATTGTATAAGTGTTACGTATTCGTATGTATAGCACTCTGAATATTGTTAAAAAGTCTTATGTTCTAAAAATAAATAACAAATATACAATCATGTAAATTGGAATTTTTAATATTAAGTGTGACGGACAACGTGTGTACAAAATATTTTGCATTTGTAATAACAGTTTCCAATTGATTAATTAAATATCATGTGTTTTTATTAAATTCGCCAAAGTTATGTTTGACAATGTCTTTAAAGGTGCAACAATTAGTGCAGGGGGGGGGGCATTCAACGATCATCGACCAGTGTCAAAATATATTTAAGTTTGGATATTTCACCAAGACTAGCATATATTTTTATTATCTACAAAGAAACCCCCTGGATGAACACGTTTATGCTTTTAAAGTTTAACAGTTTAAGGGAATATATAACGTTTTACAAAGCTAATTTTGTAACTGGCTGTCTAATTAAACTAGAAAATTTAAATACCGTACCTTTTTCATCTTTCAATCACATATGATGATTTAAATAACTGATCAATGCCCATCCAGACAATACAACGCAAGTCGACTTTTTAAGGAAAAGAAACTTTCACCTGAACAGGGCTGAAAAGAAATTATTTATAATGTCATGGTTTATCATGGTAAGGACATTGCAATAATGTTTACCTAAAAGGTAATCATTGCGTATGAAATAAATACTTGCAGCTAAATGGGAACGTGATAGATGACGATAGTATTAAATTAATTAAGGAAGTTTGGCTCAATCACACGCTAAAAAGGTAGCCGCTCACACAAACCCCAAGCTTAGAATTCGAAATAATTCGTACTGACGAACGATGCCACGCATTACTAGTGAATCAGTGAATTTCTGCAGCGAGCGTAGGAAAACTACGGTCGCCTTGCGGTCTCAATACGGCATATGCAGATTTTAACAGGCCGCAGGGTAGGCTTTTTTAACTTCGAATGAAACAAAATTGAAGTTTTATGTTCAATTACTAGTAAGTAGATAAGTTTAATATGGGAGCTATAGGATGCTTCGATCAACCACAAAGCTTGACTTGGAAACTTAGTAGAATTATAAAAAATGAAAACCTATTGAATGACCAGATATTAACATTTTTGGGTTGCGTTTTTAGGCTCACCCTGTATAAACTTATACAACATCAATACCAAATGAGATTCATCAACAAATCAAAACCTCAATAAATCAAATACTATTTTTAGTTTTGCTGGAATTTGACACACTTTGACTGGCTCTAAATGAAAAGCAAATAACGAAACTTTAAGCATATATGACTATAAACTATGAAAAAATGGCACTTGAATATGAAATCGCAGGTCGCTGGGTTTATATAAATGTTTTTATGTTTTTATCAAAAAAGTCCACGGGGAGTAAGTCACTCCCCCCCCCAACCCTCACATCAGAAATCATGGTATTGTGTCTCTAAACTTCAAAACTTATGGTAGCGTGTCTCTAATCTGATGGTTGTGTTTGTCGGCGTCTGTGATTATAGCATAAAAGTTTGTGGGGTGGAAGTATATCACCAAGGAAGGATTTATATTCAAAAGTCTTGTAAATGCCAATATAACTCAATCTCATGACTTCAAATGTCAGTCTCATATTTAGTACTACTGACTGACCATGCTTTAAATACAACTAAAAATATTCATAACGTTAACTGATCAGCCTTGCGATAAATTACATGATCTGTATTCTATTGACAAAATGTACCCATGTTATCACAGTTACGGTCACTGCATCTAGTTTAAACATTTTTACACAAGCTAGGGGTGAATAATGCCTTGGTCACATTTGCTCCGATTTTCACAACGGCGCCCGGCCGATTGAGTATTTTGTTCAGAAATGTACTCAATTGGCCGGGCGCCGGTGTAATAGATCTAAGTGTCCCCAGTGGCCAGTGTCCGTGGGACAGTTAACCCTGGGGATGCTTGTCCGTCGGACAGTTAACTCCAAGTTTTAAGTGTCCCCCTTGAAGTTTTGAATGTCCCCTTGGGGACACTAAAAACCAGCATCATTCGAAAGCTAGTTTTTTAGTACCCCCCCCCCCCCCCTTTATTTATGTATTAACTAATAATGCATTTTATCATTAATAAATCATCGAGCACTACTCTGTCACGTTAAATATAGACCAAATATAACACAATTCACAAAATGTAAGTATATTTATCGCGTATATGTACTCATAAATAAAACTGTTTGGTCAATTTGAAGCAAGTTGAAATTTAGTCTTGAAAAGTTTCGAAATTTGACCTTTTTTCCGTTTTTGAGGTCTAATATCTCAAAACTGTCGCACAATTTTAATGGATAGTCAACTGCTTATATGTGTAGAACCTTTAATGGAATATATATTCTGACTTTCATCAAAAAATATTGATTTATAATCATCAACTTTGATAAACTAAGAAAACACAGTTTGTGATTTAGTTTGATGACCTTGACATTTGACCTTGCAAAGGAGTGGTATCGATATGATGAACTTTTTGAACACGCGTTTTCATCAAAACATTCTGAAAATTTTACACATCGTCCATTTAATGGTCATCTTTTGGATGGTAACATTATAATTTGAATTATATATATAGACTTTTCTCTATATTGTTTTAGAAAAACACATCAGACACTTTTTTTCTTGGTATCATATATTCGGAATGAAATGAAATATCTATCCGAACCTCATTGGAACAAAACGACATATAAGCACAACGTGTTTAGGTCTCTCGATATTGCAATTGTACAAAGGAAAGTTTGGTTGATTTTAAATAAGTATCTTGTTAATGAAATGAAAGGGTTATCTTAATTTTTATCTATTTTAGGGGTTTTGTTTTAAGTTTTTGGATACTTTTTTTGTTAAATCAACCCAAATTTTCTTTGTATAACTATAATATTGAGAGGTCTAAGAAAATGTTGTTTATGCTATTTTGTTCCAACAAGGTTCGGAAAGACATTTTATTTCATTCTCAAGAATTCGTAAAAAGGAACAAAAAACAATTACATAAAAAAATGTTAACAAAAACAGTTATATAAAATATATATGCATTATTTTCGCATTAAATTGTTGTCAATCAGTCAACATTACATAAAGGACCGTGTTTTTACAGAATGTTTCCTATAAATGGTTTAAGAGAAAAACATTGTTGAATTCACTTCACCATATCGATACTTATCCTTTGACTTTCTTAGACATCAGTGGGTCTTTTTGTGATTAAATAAACCTAAATTTGAACCCAGAAGGTCAAAATAAAGGTCAGATTTGAGTTCCCGGGGATTTGTAGATGATTTTTAAAAATAAATTGGTCAATTTGAAGCAATATGACCAATTTTTTTCGTCAATTATCTCAAAAACGGTAAAGATTTAACGCAAACATATAGTAAGCAATTTGTAGGGAATGCTTATCTAGTTACATTTTAATTCATTGCAAGAAATAATCATGAAATATGAAGACGAAATCTGAGAAACTTAAAAAAACTCTGATTTGACCTAGATTTGGCCTTTGACCTTGACCTAGATAAAAATTCCTTCCCTGCCAAGTGCAGCTCAGGTCCTTAGTAGAAGCATATAAGAGTTATCTTAGACCTAGCTAGAAGTAGGAGAAAAGTGGTTAGGAGGAATAAATAAAAAAATAAATAAAGAATATCTATAAAAACTGGTGGTATCCTTTGAAAATGTAAAAAATGGGCACCAATAATAATAGGCTACAATATAGAATACTACAATCTATTGAGACTAATATAACATACAATACAATATAAACGGTGCAGACGGTTAATTATTTTACACATGATATATCAATGCAGGATTCGAACCTGGAACCTAATAAATACAAACACAATTAATAAATACGCATTATGCCAACGCCTATACCGTTACGCCACAGTGGGAAATGTCTCCCCATTTTACCCTTGTTGATATAGGAAATAAAACCTGGTTTTCAATGTCCTCCAATGGACAGCCAACCCTAGGGATCGGGGTCCGTAGGACCCCGATCCCTAGGGTTGGCTGTCCCACGGACACTGACCACCGGGGGACACTTAAATCTGTTACACCGGCCGATGATTCGCAGCAAATGTGACACAGGCATAACTCTCATTCTCTGCATTACTACTTACCCTTACAGTAGGTCATGAAACTTAATATTAATCTATAGTAAATTAAGGACATCTACAAAACATTCTATACGAGGTAAGTTAATTCATGGTATTCTTCTTTCACCGTTTTATTCTGTCAATAGAACTCCGAAAATAAGAAATCAGGAGACCATTGTGCAATAATATATAGAAAAGTATATTCATATCGTTGTACTTGAATAACATTTCAGATTATTTAGTTTTTGTGCAATAAGCCTATGCCATCTTGTAATTAAAGGAATTTCAGCCATGTTATTTTTTGAAAATAACATGGCAGAGAAGCATAAAAATATACAATGCCACATAAGTTATAAGCCAAACTAGAAGCAATCCAAGATATACGTACATCGATCAAAAATTCTATGGGTGAGTAAGGTTCATCTTGGCGCAAGCGCCACGTGAAATACAGGCCTTCTCGGGCAGAATATTTTCTGTATTTCACTCGAATCATTGAATAACTTATAATATCCAGATAAGAAATGTTCCCAGCAGCTCTAGTGAAACCTGATGCTTTGTTTTGGTCTAATAAGATGCAGCCTGCTTGCAAATAAAATAAAGTTATCCTTGATCGTAATTTTATGGTGAAATTAAAAACAGCAATTAAATATGAGAAACTTATATGGTATATGTAAGGGTGTGTGTGTGATCATGTAATTTCAAAATAATCCGTCAATTTTTAAAGAAAGCAGCAAAAGTAAGGAAACCAGAAGAAACATTTGATGAAGGGGCGGCGGTTTATAGGCTGTATTAAATACCCCTGCATTAACGCTAATATACGAGGGTATATCATAAAGTTCTCATAATATCTCTCTAATTTTTTTATTTTTCAATATATTATGATGAATTTTTCACAGAATGTGTATTATGGAATGCTGTATTAATCTATCAAAACATATTTGGTATAACAAAAATATTATTTAAGAAATGGTTGCCATAGTAACCGGAAATCAAGGCACCCGGGGTAAATAAAAAATCGTGCAAGAATAGCCCCAAGTAACCATGTTTAAATGCATAATAAGTTATCAAACAAGCTATGAAACACATCAAATTGTTAAATATCATGTGTTCTTGACTGTTTTGAACTATTATAATGGCCATGTGAATTGTGTGATCTCATAATGGATGATTGTAATGCTTCATTAGAAGTGATGTTAGACACTACAACTGTTTTGTCAAATATTCCTAGGAAAGTCAATTTCCCCCCCTTTAGTTCATCTTAAATACATTTAAACCATACACAGGGTGTACTTTTGTTGATATCTTTGCAACATATTTGTTTTAAATCATCTTTAGTATGAGCAAAGGATTTTTCGAACTTAACTGAACTTTTTATCATAGTATGAATTTATTTTTCTGATGATCTCTGCATCTATGCATTATCTTACTCAGTCATTTCTGATTATTAAGCTTTGATTCTCAGAGTATGGTATCACATTCATGAAGCATGTAAGCATCCCCTATGACATCACACAATTCACATGATCAATTTATTTTAGAGTAAAAGCATTTAACAACATATTCAAAATAACATTTTAATGTGTTTGATAATTTATGAGAGTTAATTACGAATGTAAACATGGTTAATTAAGCTCATTCTCTCAATTATTTTTATTTGCCCCGGGTGACCCGATTTCCCGTTACTATGGCAACCGTTACTTATCTAATATTTTTTGGCAGATTAATACAGTATTCTATACTGCAGATTCTATGAAAATTTCATTAGAATATATTGAAAAATAAAAAAATTAGAGATATTATGAGAACTTTATGATATACCCTCGTATATGAGTTCTAAACATTAATTCAGTAGGCAACAGTGTAAACAAGTAATATGAGACATAATATTACAAATTCTGGACATGCTATTGTTACTGTTGAATTTTTGTTTATTGCTTAGCCTCTCCTACCAAGTCCTGATTATTATTAATTAGGATTAGTTTCAGATTCTTATTGTTAATTCGATCCATAATTAATGCGGCCATTTAACTTCCATTCATTGCCGCTCAGAAGGTATAGCTCCGCTCTTTCACTTGTATCGCTTTGGACTGCAGAGTATCACACGTTTACCATATCTTGGAAAATCAAATTTGGAATCACAACATGTAAGTTCCTCGACTCGGCACCACATGCCAATTTTGGCACTTTTAGTGTCAATCGGTTTTAATTTTTAAATGGCCTCGTTTTTAATTTTGACTTTTAAAATTCATTCTGCAAACAACTCGCGGTCCTTTGTATGTACTCTCTGTATTCAAAGTGTCATATCTCAGTGATAATGGTATATTTATAATGTTAATCATTGAATCAATGTATTTTGAATTGAATAACATTTCTTATGGTATATCAATATCGTTTCTTACATTTCTTATCTTATATCAATATAGTTTCTTATACATGTAATATGTATGGTTTGTATGTACCTTATTTAAATAAATGCCTGCTCATTAGGCTACTACTAAAACTAAATTATGTGCTGTATTACATAATGAAAAATCTCAGTATGCCTGCCTAACACAATGTCTGGCACCCTTTAATCGAATAGGCAAAAGAGGTAAGTATTTGCATTTGTAGAATCTCTCTTTGGATTAGACATGAAGTCTTAGCTAGTAGAACCTAAACAAATTAAACACTATTTTTACATTAAATTATTTTTCACGGTTTCTCTGTTATTTACAGGCTCAAAATGGCGACAGGAAGAGACAATGGGGATGAATATCACGAGCAGTTGAAATGTGGGATTTGTTTGGACATTGTCAAGACACCAAAGTCCTTACAGTGTACCCATACATTTTGTTTCACGTGTTTAGATGGATGGATTAAGGCCAATAGACGAAACAGGAATAGGAAATACCCTTGCCCGACTTGTAAAGATCCGCACGACATTCCACAAAATGGAGCGAATGCGTATAAGACTAATGTGATGGTCCAAGGCATCGTGGACATTGTGGATAGAAAGCGAAAACTAAATGAGGGAGATACCATCGAATGCGATATATGTATTCAGGATAACCTACATTCCCCTGCACTCGCACGCTGTATGGAATGTGCTGAGAATATGTGCCAAGCATGTAAAAGAGCACATGGGCTTTCAAGGGGCACCAAGTCGCATGAACTGTATAAGTTAACGGGAAACGCTGACGAGGATTCAAAAACAGCTTTGGCACACTTATCGAGTCGGAATATCAATTGTTCAGAGCATCCCGATCAACCGTTGTTATTTTTCTGTAAGGAAGATAAAATACCAGTATGTCGAGACTGCTGCATCACTGAACACTCAAAACATGAAAGTGTGAAAATAGAGACAATATCAGAACCAGAAAAAGAGCGCATCGCTGCCTTGGTCGAGTTAATAAAGGAGAAGAAGTAGAAGTACGAAAGGGCTATACAATACTCAGCATATATACGTCAAACCCCAAAACAGCAAATGCAAACAACTTTAAATGAGATCAATGTATCTAGAGAAGAACAACTCAAGAGAATAAATGATTATTTTGATTCACTTGAAAGTAAAGTAAGAGAAGGCAGTGAAGCAAATGATGAAAAGATACAAGCACATCAAAATGAATTATCATTACAGATAGGTACTGCCGACAGCACGTTGCTCCACCTAAGTACTCTCCAGAAGCATGGCCATCCTGTAGATATATTACGTGCTAGTGGCGACATCTCTCATAGGCTTCGAGAATGGTCCGACGCGAATGACTTAAACCTTGGATCACTGAGTAAACAAACCTTTGAACAAGGACATCTTGATACGTCCAAACTTGGTCACATATTGTCAAGTAGTATTATGGTACAAGCGCCTACACCATGTCAGCCTAAAGTGCTAAACAAAAAACACATCCCTGAAGGAACCCCAGGAAACATTGCTATATCTGATGCTGTTGTAGGTGCTGATTTAGTAATCTTACATGATAGGATGGAAGCACAAGCACAACTCGCAACATATGATAATGACACTTTAACACTGAAGCACCATACTGCGGGAAATTTCAACAGAGTATGTGCCTTGCCAGGGAATCAATATGCTGCAACTGATGCCAAAACAAGTGCGTTGCAATATTCAATGATAATCTCGTTCACCAAAGGAATATAGGTCAGTTTGAGAGTCCATGTGGCATATGTTGTAATGCTTTGAACGAACTGATTGTGAGTGATGCGATTACTAAGAAAGTGTACCACATTGACATAAATGATGGTTCTGAACTGGAAGCAACACCATATGAACTGTTTGAAGCTCCTCAGTATGTCACAACAAACAGTAAGGGAGATGTCATTGTTTCAGATACGAAAACACACTCCATCACGGGAATCACTAGAAATGGTGACAGAGTGTTCAGCTATGGTCAACGTGGGTCGGATGATGGTCAGTTCACTTGTCCATGCGGTTTATGTACAGATGCACTTGATAACATCATTGTGGCTGATTTCAATAATAACAGAGTTCATTTACTTGACTATAATGGAAAGTTTATCAGATATCTATTAACTGCAGAAGACGGATTGCAAGATCCGTGCGCTGTTGCCATAGACAGGCATGGTGACCTTGTTATAGGCACTGATACTGGAGATGTATGGTTTGTGAAGTACATGAACTATGAATAGACAGCAGTAAAGATCGGTAAGGGTGATCCTGGTATATAAAACATAATCCAATTAGAACTAATGCTAGAGATGTATGGTTTGTGAAGTACATGAACTTTGAATAGACAGCAATAAAGATTGGTAGGGGTGATCCTGGTATACAAAACATAATCCAATTAGAACTAATGCTAGAGATGTATGGTTTGTGAAGTACATGAACTTTGAATAGACAGCAATAAAGATTGGTAGGGTGATCCTGGTATACAAAACATAATCCAATTAGAACTAATGCTAGAGATGTATGGTTTGTGAAGTACATGAACTTTGAATAGACAGCAATAAAGATTGGTAGGGGTGATCCTGGTATACAAAACATAATCCAATTAGAACTAATGCTAGAGATGTATGGTTTGTGAAGTACATGAACTATGAATAGACAGCAATAAAGATTGGTAGGGGTGATCCTGGTATATAAAACATAATCCAATTAGAACTAATGCTAGAGATGTATGGTTTGTGAAGTACATGAACTATGAATAGACAGCAATAAAGATTGGTAGGGGTGATCCTGGTATACAAAACATATTATTAATCCAATTAGAACTGATGCTAGAGATGTATGGTTTGTGAAGTACATGAACTATGAATAGACAGCAATAAAGATTGGTAGGGTGATCCTGGTATACAAAACATAATCCAATTAGAACTAATGCTAGAGATGTATGGTTTGTGAAGTACATGAACTTTGAATAGACAGCAGTAAAGATCGGTAGGGGTGATCCTGGTATATAAAACATAATCCAATTAGAACTGATGCTAGAGATGTATGGTTTGTGAAGTACATGACCTATGAATAGACAGCAATAAAGATTGGTAGGGGTGATCCTGGTATATAAAACATAATCCAATTAGAACTAATGCTAGAGATGTATGGTTTGTGAAGTACATGAACTATGAATAGACAGCAATAAAGATTGGTAGGGGTGATCCTGGTATATAAAACATAATCCAATTAGAACTAATGCTAGAGATGTATGGTTTGTGAAGTACATGAACTATGAATAGACAGCAATAAAGATTGGTAGGGGTGATCCTGGTATACAAAACATAATCCAATTAGAACTAATGCTAGAGATGTATGGTTTGTGAAGTACATGAACTATGAATAGACAGCAATAAAGATTGGTAGGGGTGATCCTGGTATACAAAACATAATCCAATTAGAACTAATGCTAGAGATGTATGGTTTGTGAAGTACATGAACTATGAATAGACAGCAATAAAGATTGGTAGGGGTGATCCTGGTATACAAAACATAATCCAATTAGAACTAATGCTAGAGATGTATGGTTTGTGAAGTACATGAACTATGAATAGACAGCAATAAAGATTGGTAGGGGTGATCCTGGTATACAAAACATAATCCAATTAGAACTAATGCTAGAGATGTATGGTTTGTGAAGTACATGAACTTTGAATAGACAGCAATAAAGATTGGTAGGGGTGATCCTGGTATACAAAACATAATCCAATTAGAACTAATGCTAGAGATGTATGGTTTGTGAAGTACATGAACTATGAATAGACAGCAATAAAGATTGGTAGGGGTGATCCTGGTATACAAAACATAATCCAATTAGAACTAATGCTAGAGATGTATGGTTTGTGAAGTACATGAACTATGAATAGACAGCAATAAAGATTGGTAGGGGTGATCCTGGTATACAAAACATAATCCAATTAGAACTAATGCTAGAGATGTATGGTTTGTGAAGTACATGAACTTTGAATAGACAGCAGTAAAGATCGGTAGGGGTGATCCTGGTATACAAAACATAATCCAATTAGAACTAATGCTAGAGATGTATGGTTTGTGAAGTACATGAACTATGAATAGACAGCAATAAAGATCGGTAGGGGTGATCCTGGTATACAAAACATAATCCAATTAGAACTAATGCTAGAGATGTATGGTTTGTGAAGTACATGAACTTTGAATAGACAGCAGTAAAGATCGGTAGGGGTGATCCTGGTATACAAAACATAATCCAATTAGAACTAATGCTAGAGATGTATGGTTTGTGAAGTACATGAACTTTGAATAGACAGCAGTAAAGATCGGTAGGGGTGATCCTGGTATATAAAACATAATCCAATTAGAACTGATGCTAGAGATGTATGGTTTGTGAAGTACATGACCTATGAATAGACAGCAATAAAGATTGGTAGGGGTGATCCTGGTATATAAAACATAATCCAATTAGAACTAATGCTAGAGATGTATGGTTTGTGAAGTACATGAACTATGAATAGACAGCAATAAAGATTGGTAGGGGTGATCCTGGTATACAAAACATAATCCAATTAGAACTAATGCTAGAGATGTATGGTTTGTGAAGTACATGAACTATGAATAGACAGCAATAAAGATCGGTAGGGGTGATCCTGGTATATAAAACATAATCCAATTAGAACTAATGCTAGAGATGTATGGTTTGTGAAGTACATGAACTTTGAATAGACAGCAATAAAGATTGGTAGGGGTGATCCTGGTATATAAAACATAATCCAATTAGAACTAATGCTAGAGATGTATGGTTTGTGAAGTACATGAACTTTGAATAGACAGCAATAAAGATTGGTAGGGGTGATCCTGGTATACAAAACATAATCCAATTAGAACTAATGCTAGAGATGTATGGTTTGTGAAGTACATGAACTATGAATAGACAGCAATAAAGATTGGTAGGGGTGATCCTGGTATATAAAACATAATCCAATTAGAACTAATGCTAGAGATGTATGGTTTGTGAAGTACATGAACTATGAATAGACAGCAATAAAGATTGGTAGGGGTGATCCTGGTATATAAAACATAATCCAATTAGAACTAATGCTAGAGATGTATGGTTTGTGAAGTACATGAACTATGAATAGACAGCAATAAAGATCGGTAGGGGTGATCCTGGTATACAAAACATATTATTAATCCAATTAGAACTGATGCTAGAGATGTATGGTTTGTGAAGTACATGAACTATGAATAGACAGCAATAAAGATTGGTAGGGGTGATCCTGGTATACAAAACATAATCCAATTAGAACTAATGCTAGAGATGTATGGTTTGTGAAGTACATGACCTATGAATAGACAGCAATAAAGATTGGTAGGGGTGATCCTGGTATACAAAACATAATCCAATTAGAACTAATGCTAGAGATGTATGGTTTGTGAAGTACATGAACTTTGAATAGACAGCAATAAAGATTGGTAGGGGTGATCCTGGTATACAAAACATAATCCAATTAGAACTAATGCTAGAGATGTATGGTTTGTGAAGTACATGACCTATGAATAGACAGCAATAAAGATTGGTAGGGGTGATCCTGGTATACAAAACATAATCCAATTAGAACTAATGCTAGAGATGTATGGTTTGTGAAGTACATGAACTTTGAATAGACAGCAATAAAGATTGGTAGGGGTGATCCTGGTATACAAAACATAATCCAATTAGAACTAATGCTAGAGATGTATGGTTTGTGAAGTACATGAACTTTGAATAGACAGCAATAAAGATTGGTAGGGGTGATCCTGGTATATAAAACATAATCCAATTAGAACTAATGCTAGAGATGTATGGTTTGTGAAGTACATGAACTTTGAATAGACAGCAATAAAGATTGGTAGGGGTGATCCTGGTATACAAAACATAATCCAATTAGAACTAATGCTAGAGATGTATGGTTTGTGAAGTACATGAACTATGAATAGACAGCAATAAAGATTGGTAGGGGCGATCCTGGTATACAAAACATATTTTTAATCCAATTAGAACTGATGCTAGGGATGTATGGTTTGTGAAGTACATGAACTATGAATAGACAGCAATAAAGATTGGTAGGGGTGATCCTGGTATACAAAACATAATCCAATTAGAACTGATGCTAGAGATGTATGGTTTGTGAAGTACATGACCTATGAATAGACAGCAATAAAGATTGGTAGGGGTGATCCTGGTATACAAAATATAATCCAATTAGAACTGATGCTAGAGATGTATGGTTTGTGAAGTACATGGCCCATGGGCTATAAACAGATGTCAGTAAAGGTTTGATAGAGGAATCCTATACCTTGGTATACGTTTTTCATTAGTCCATTGCTTTTGTCCGATCTGTGTCAAAATGGTCAAGAATAAGAGCAAATTGATATTGGGAAAATTAATGACAAATAGATGTCAGTATAGAGTTAGGTGGTAGATAGTTAGGTAGAAAATATCGTAGTAAAAACTAGTATTATATGTTCTTTTAGACAATTCTCTGACAAAATGCTTCGGAGCAAATTAACAGTAGCATGGTATAGCCCATTTTTGACAAGAATCCTTGCAAAGGACTTGAGAAATACTAGTAACATATCTATTGTAGTAACAAATATATTTCAATATAAAAAAAACGAAAACAAATATAAAAGGTAAACGAACTGTAATCTGTAATTTGTTGCAGTTCTTTTCATATATTGCTTAATGGGGATTATATGGTGGAGTTTTTTGTACAGATCTCAATACCAAAATAAGATTTCATAAGCTTTCCGATGAAATGCACTTTTTTATTTCTGCCAATAAAAACTTCAAATTAATATACATGTACAATGTTTAGACAAACATTCTCACCCTGGCGACATCATGATATATGATAGCTAGAGCTGAACTGACAGATTTTCAATTAAACATCTATTTCTCTCAGACATCTTGGAAAAGGAGGTGTTAACTAAACTATATTTTATAAGACATCTTGTGAATAGAAGAACTCACAAAAAACTTTGTTAGCGCTCTTAGTCAAGCCACCTTAAAATGCTGTGTCAAGTGTAAATACATATGTAGGCCTGTTGTTTTATTCAATATAAGCCACAAAAACAGCACATTTTTGCATTATCTGATATTACCCTTTCAGTGTTTATTTTCAGCAGCTTTCTTATTACATATATGTGTATTTCAAACAACTTGAGACAATAATAATATTGATCCACTTTTATTTAAACCGCATTTGATTATTTATTGAAGACAGAAAATTTACATAACCCATGTATACCTGATTAAGAAACTGTACTTTTACTTAATTTGGCGCTACTTATTTTGGCAGATTTGCTGTTTTGATCATTTGGCTGCTACTTATTTTGGCAGATTGGCAAAATGGCAATATTGAAAAATTTGGCAAACTTTAAAGGATTTACTTATGAGCCCAATTTTATTCTTGTTGCTATCCGCTGACTTTCGTTTGACTTGTAAATTGTAATTGGTTCTTTTAAAAGAGTTGAGATTGGACATGTAGTTGTTGTTATCATGTGGTAGAGCCCATGTTGTTATTGTACAAAAGTGACAAAGAACAAATTTTGAAAGGAAATATTGCGGTGTACATCCCCTGGAATTCAGAAAGACGACAGCTTAATTTAGCGGACTTTAACAATTTGGCAGATCCGTCAAATTAAGTAGAAGTACAGTATCTTGTAATATACAGGGCGAGACAAAAAGGTATAACACAAATAAATGTTAATGACCTTCAGCAAGTCATATTTGGCACTACTGAACCTTGTTAATGGTCAAGATTTTAAGGCTATTTTACAAAACATACTCCAAATGCAGAAACATGCCAAACTCATACAATAGAAAACCCCAAACCTTTATATTAAGGGCTATTTCAAAGATAATATCTACACTAACAACCTGGAACCTGGAAGTTGTAACAAGAAATTGGAAGGGAGATGAGCCGCATTACACAAGAAAACTGAAAAGGTGTAATCATAACAACTCCTGATCCATTCAAGTTAGCTTCAGAGACAACACAAGCATTTTGGGATTTGGAATAGACCAACGAAACTTAGTAGAATGAAAAAAATTAATTTTAATTGGGCCAAATATGACCTTAACCCATGCTGAATGACCCAGATATCTACATTTGTTTGAGTTGACTTTTTAGGCTCACTCTGTATAAACACCATATTTCTCACACATTTTCAACATCAATACCAAATGGGTTTCATCAACAAATAAAAACCTAAATAAATCAAATACTGGAATTTGACACATATTGCCCAGCTTAGTAATCGGATATCTATCAAGCATTTCAAAATCATTTAACAAATATTCAATATACCAACCTAATGAATGGTATCACTTCGATTTCAAAAATTGTCCTCAATATCTTATGAGTGCCTCTGTAAATATAGCACATAGTTTCCAACAATAAAAATATTTGAATGTGCCAGCTTTATAAGCATACAGATATTTATTAAGCATTTCTGGGATTGATAAAAGTTTGACCCCTTTTCATTCCACTGTATATTCTATTTAAAACATGGCCAGAAGTCATGCCCAAGCCAAGTGATCACTATTTGCTATACCATTGTAACCATACATGTACCTGGTACTTTGAATGAACTGCTTGATTTTCTACATTTCTATACAATTTAGAGTGATGACTACATGTCTGTTTATTTTATTCCCTGCTAATTCCACTTATTTCTCTCTAAAATTTGAATGAACTGCTTGATTTTCTACATTTCTATACAATTTAGAGTGATGACTATATGCCTATGCATTTTATTCCTTGCTAAATCCTCATGTTTTCACTCTATTTTACATTTCAAAACAATCATGCTGAAGCCAAGTGATCACTATTGCAATGTTTTTGTCAAACTGACATCTCCAATCAAGTTCCTCACATTGCAGTCATGTGATCAATATTGCAGTGAAAATACCAAACTTCTCTCCCATCCAACTTTTCACATTGAGGCCATGTGAGCTCCTGCCCCATTGCTTTCCTCCCAAGCAGTTTCAACTAAACTACGAAGTGATTTACGAATCATAAGTTCAAGTCTCTTTCTCGCTTTTTTCTCATCATCTAATTCTTTGCGCATCTTTTTATGTTCCTGAAAAATATTCAAATATTTTGTGTGTCATCAATCAAAGATTATTTAACCTAAGCTTGGAGGAAATGTAGAATGTCACTCGACTTTTTGGTGATTTTGAAGATATATCTGCATTTCACGATTCAAAATCAATTTCTGTAGTAATCTGACACCACCTTCTAATTTGCCTCACTGACCTTTTATTGTTTCTCAACCATAATCTTTCAAAATCAGATAATTAGGGTGATGAGCGGGGAAATTTTGTAGGGAATTTCAGTCACAAAAACCAACGAGTGACAACTTACACTTCCTCAGAGTGTAATTTATTAAGGCACTGCAGTTCAACAAGCAAATATTTTCAAGCAAATGTGATGAACATCATAGTCTTTACAAACATGTACATTGAAAATCAATTTCAAAATTTTTTTTAAGTTAGTCTTGTTTTTGGTGAAATAAAAAGACGAAATGCTGAATTTCTGAATCAGAGAAAAATGTTCTACCATAGGCTGTATAAAATTGACAGAATTCGAGAATGAAGAATTGTATACATATGTCAAACTTATAAAAAAACATGTGGAAAGGGAGAAATTAAACACTCTGCTAATGTTCCAGGTTTTGAAGCTGATGTACTAACCTGTCGCAAGTCCTTTACTTGATCTTTCAAGGCATACACTGTATCTACAAGACTCCTGTAACACAAATGAGGGTTATTAAATGGGAGGTTTGGGATATAGGGTATATCTGCCTGAGGGACTGAGGGTAGATATATCATATTTCCCAAGGATTATACTCTGTATCCAAAACTGAGCATTAAATAACTAATTTATCCTATACTTGGAAGATTATGGGGATTAATTATTACAACACTGCTTAAATGATATGGGTCAATAATGAAAAATGATATTCTTTTATTTACCCATCAGTGTAAAAAGTAAAAAAGAGAAGTGTAAACTGTTTGGTAAAATGATGATGCTTTAGTAAAAAATAGACAGTAGCTATTTTTAAGGCCTAGAATGAAAGATAAATATAAGATTATTTGTAAAGGATACGGACATTTATCTCTTTCATTTCCAGACATATTTTTCTCAAATCATCATGTCCCCATATTACTTCAATGTATAATAAACGTCATCTCAGAAAATGTTACTTGTCATGTTCAAAATGAGGTGTCACTTACTTCTCCTCAATAATTGTTTGATCCCCTCTGATATCCTCAAATATAATCTTCTCTTCCTCTGCAATAATAACTTGTGGGCAATCTAGAAGAGCTGAAAGAGAATCCAAAGCATGCAACAAAAGCTACAACATCAAAAACAACAACTACAACAGATACATACATGTACTGTACTGTAAATCCGTTCAATTTAGCGTAATTCAATTTGGCAAGTCTACAACTTGGCATGTTTTGTAAATATGTTTGTTTTATTTTTGTGAATAAATATTTCAATAAAAATAAATAAAATAACAAAATTGGCAAGTCTACCATTTTCAAAACATTGGTGGCAATTTGATTTGGAAAATGCATCAAAAACATCAAAGGATAACAATATCACAACTTGACTGGAAATTGACAAGGGTTTATTGGCCATTTTGTCCCAAATTGCTGGATTCCCAGATAAAACTGGCGCAAAATAAATGATTTTTGTGATTATACTCCCTTATAATATGTTTTTCAAGCAGATTGTCCTAAAATGTGCATACAAGCAAAGTGAAACAACACCGCCCACTCACCCACCCACTCATCCGCCCACTCATTCAGTCACTCATCCACCCACTCACCCGCCCACTCACCAGTTTCACTAATTCCACTCATTTCCACACCTCTGAATCGTAAAAGATGTCCACTGATTTTTCTTATTTTTGTGAATCATTTTTCAACTGAAAACCAGGTTAATGAATAAAAGAATAAAATTGTGTTTTTTTCAATTTTTTAAAACTTATTTTTAACATTTTCACACAATGGCTTCCATGCCATTTTCAATACATGTCCTAGATACATGCAACCAATCCTCCATAACATTGGCATCGCCAGGCATGGGGCGGGAGGCAACTAGGGTAGCTCAACAAAGTTTTACAAAAATACAGGGTGTCCAAAATATCTTTATAATTACAATAAATTTGGGTACCCTGTATATTTCGAGTTGAATGTCTCCACTAAAATTTTTTAAAAAATGAAGTCAATAGGTAGTATTTGGAAACATTTAAGCTCCTTAAACCTAAATCTGTATCAACTTAGTTTTGATCCTTGCTTTGCAACTGTGCCAATCAAGCATGATATTGATAATAAAACACTATATATTTTTGGCAAAAAATTGCAGTTCTCCGTAGTAATGCACATGAATCAATATTGTACTATATTCTTAAGGAGTAGTATGTTGGGCTTAGATAACAAGGAAAAGTATATAATTGGGAGTTTAAGCTAGCATATATAATTGAAGCGCCAACCTTTACGTATGACCAATCGCCCATACAAATGCATTGCTTAAACTGTTAAACATTTTTCGTTCACGTTTAGGTCGTGAAAAAGATTGCAAGCTTAAAATCCCCAATATTCAATCTGCAGCACATAAAATATATATTGCAGAAGACTTCTCAGAGCCAGGTGGCATTCTTATTATTTATTAGATTGTCTTTAGTTTTACAGTTGATAATGATATTTTTTTCAGTTGAGGCTCGGGTGGCTTTTGTTCATTGAATTAGTCAGGAGTGTCAGTAGATCAGACAGTATGATTGTTAATTCATTTCATCAACATTTTTGTACTTTTTAAAACGTTAGGTAAAGCTAAAAAATACATATTTCATTGCATATTTAAATGCATATAATATGGAAACAAATCAGCAAATTGCGTAAGAAATGGGAAAATAGGACAGGCTGTGGTCATGTGTCATGGTCCAAGTGAGGAATGGGAAAATAGGACAGGCTGTGGTCATGTGTCATAGTCTTAGTAAGAAATGGGAACATAGGACAGGCTGTGGTCATGTGTCATGGTCTTAGTAAAAAAATAGGAAAATAGAACAGGCCACAGGTGTCATGTGTCGTGGTCTAAGTGAGGAATGGGAAAATAGGACAGGCTGTGGTCAGATCAGAATATAAGAATATCTGCAATTGTAACATCTCTATGAATAAATTTCAAGACAGGCAGAGTACAATAGGCTTATTACATTATATTGTCAGTAGAGCAGACTATGGAGATGCACTGGTGTCTATTCAACCCTGATGTGTTTCGCTACTTAATTTTTTCAATGCTTATCAGTATACTAGAGTACAGGGAGGCAATGCCGTCCATGGAGCTAATTGTCGGAGACTCATTATATGCAGTCATTTTTCCAACAATTACTTACAAGGAGGACATTACCCCCTGTACTCTACTTGAAATATCATGAGAACTTGAAAACAGAGCTGAGAACAGAGCTTTATGTATACTGAAGTGAAATAAATTATCCGGTGTGTAAAAAAGGTTGCGTAAAGGTGAGTCCTTTAACTTGGTAAAATTATAATTACAATATCAATAATACTATTATTCAAAGAATATCAATTATAAAGAATGAAAAACAGCATCATTTTCCTACAATATTCTAATATATTACATTATTATTAATATACATGTACAACAAAACTGTACAATATATACAATAATTTTTACAATATTATGCTTTATAAGTATACAATAACTTACAATATTGCTTCTTGATTTACAATAAAGCTGACTAGATTTCTCTGGATAGACACAAAGTTATGGGGAAGATGATTATAAGAGGGGTATAATATGGGGTAAAATATGATGTGAAACTATGGGTTAAATATTGACAAGTGACAAGTGTTATGTGTGACAAGCCTTTACATTGTCATTGTTATGTCGAAGAGGAGGGAAACCCCCCAAAGTTCAATGGATCTTTATGTAGAGATGGCCATCATCTCTGATTGGTCAAATAACATATAGAGCTAACAGAAACGAAATAGCAGATTCAAAGATTTGTAAAAATATTTGAAATTATATAATGTTAATTTCCGGCGTATTTGAAAATATTATAGCTTGTTACATCGGTAACTTAAAACCTCATGGTATGAGAATTAGTAAGTATTTTGTTTGATAAATCTAGATCTTTAACAATTTTAACAATATATATCAAAAGTTGAATATCATGAAAACAATCATTTCAAGAGCATGGTAGTGTCAAGAAAAAATCGAAGTTATCTCTATGGGCAATCAACCTTTTGATTTTCAAACATTTCCAAAATGGTTCTCAAAAGGCCAGATATTGAAAAATTGTGGAATCGTGGTTAAATGCCTTTACAAATTAATTGCTTGTTTAGCAGTATCATATACTAGTAAATCATTCAGAAACCTCCCTGGTCAAATTTTGTTCTCATTTTTTGTCTTTCATTTTGACCTTGACTAATAAAAAATAGTACCTTTTTGACATTATTTTCGGTATTTAAAAGCTATTGAAAAGCCACAAGTTCACTACACCCCTTTCCAAACATAGTTCCTGCTAAACAGATATTTAAACTCAAGAGGCCTAACCACCTCAATTCCCCCTGCACCATTAAAAATAGAGAGGCTACGATTCACAAATTTGGGAAATCTTGAACATAAACATATTATATTAATGATCCATAGGAAATGTTGTCCACCTCTTAATTGGTTTAAATGAAGGCAAGTGAATGTTACAAGTTAAATGTACATATTCCTAAAATCAGTGCTAACTTAACCTCCCTCATGACATTAGAATAACATCCCCTGTCAAATAGCTGAAATTTCAGTAATGCTATAATTTCTTCAGATTTTTCACAATGGCCCTTCCAATGGGGAAGCCAGCGCAGCAAAATCCAGCACCACTGCGTTGCATAGCTCTCAACTCGGCAAGGTCGTAATCAGGCGATATTAAACGTTCATTCGGATCATCGCTCAATCCTGAGTCACTGCTAAAACGTAGCTTGGATAAGTCCACTGGTGGCCAGTCAGGAAATTGTATCCATATTAACATTTGTATTCATTTGTTGCAATCATATCCGTGTTGTAAATTGTATTCCCAGATTGTATCCACATCAAATATTGTATCCGTATAAGTTTGGATCCACATCAGAATTTATATCCATGTTGTAAATTGTATTCCCAAATTGTATCCACATCAAATATAGTATCCGTATAAGTTTGGATCCACATCAGAATTTATATCCATGTAATGATTCATCCAGAAATAGCATCCGGAGAAGATTTAGAAGCAGCATTAACAAAAATAGTCAGGTTCATTTTTTAATCATTAATTGATTTACAACAAAATATTTGATTGAATTACAACACTGAGCATTCCACAACAACAACAACAACAACAACAACAACAACAACCCCATTGTGTGTGTGTACAATCTACAAACCTGTCTGAGAATTGTCATTCTACAAGTGGTTACAAAGTGTAAAAATGTTACAGACAAAAAATCAGGTGTACTTGTACATTGTATTTTAAGGTTTCAACGTTTTTGAAGCAAAATTTCGTGTATTTTCACAACTGGCAAATTTTAGGCAAAAGTGGCAAACCTCCAGGCCATGTTCAGCAAGTAAACTTTGAGATGCTGTATCTCTTGTTTTAGATGACATCTTTAAATATCATTGAGTACGATAGAAAAGTAGTGTTTATTCTGGAATTATCAATAGGAAGTTGTTCACAATTTTTGCAACATTGGTCATTTTAATACCTATTTTAATACCTATTTATCTTAAAATCCAAAACAGAGCATTTCATTTGAGGCTAAAGATTCCATGAATTAGGGTTTGCCTAATGGACGTTTCTATTGTAAAATTCAATTTTCATGGTTAAAAACCATTTGCATAAAATTAAATTCTATTGCACCAGGTGAATATCTAATTAAAAATCCACTTGCACCCAGTTCAGAAAATCCTGGGAAGACCTAGAACACCAACTCCCCATTCTCAGATAGGTATTATATAAACTAACAAAAGGTTGAACCACAAATCATCTAGTTTTATAAAAATGAAACTACAATAAAATCAAATTTTTTGCAATCCGTGATGTGATGGAAATAATTTATATGTGAGGAAATTACAACAAAGGCTACAACAACAACATTACAACATCAATGGTGATATCAATATCAATACAGCTTGATGTGTATTTAATTTATTACAGTCTAAGTCTAAGAGGAACACCTTTGGTACCTCTAAAAAGTGTTCCACTTGGGAGGTGTTCCACTTACAGAGGTTTATTTAACATTAAGTCAATGTTGGTTTTGGGACTCTGAAAAGTATTCCATTAACAATAGTGATCCATTTCTTTCTTTCTTTTTTTTGACAAACCATTACAAGAGTACATGTGCTCATACATAATTTCTTCAAACAATAAGTATAAACTATAAAACGCTTACATTATTTTATCGATATTGACATATTAAACATACAAATTGCTGATAACGTATCTCAAACATATGAACTCAAATAAAACTCATGGTTTCAATTCCAAGAACTGGTGATATCTAAAGCCGTGACATTTACGACATAAGGAAGTTTGTATAGGTCAAAAAAAATTTCAAAACATATTTGTATTATTAGGTTACATTAACCTAAGCAGACTAACACCAGGACACTATTGTAGACTATACAAGGGTGTAGGATCTGTTAAAGTAAATTTTTAAACTTGTTTTTCTATTGAAATGACAGATATCGAATACTGAATTCTGGCCACAAATGGTGGTTTACAAGGTGGAACCAAAAAGAGAGAACTAAAATAAAATAAACTGCACTAAAAAGGAGAGCCATGCTTTCTACATAGAGAACTGGTTTACTATATCTAAGAAATGTGCTTTTCTAGGCGTGTATTCTAATTACTAATTGCGATGCGATAATAATGTATACTAGTTTCTAAGAAGCTGAATAATCATAACATTATATTCACATAAAAATGTAAAATATAAGTACATGTTATATTATAGCAAATACTATTGATATAAGGAGAATCCCAGATTTTCTATTTCAGTAAGTTTTTGGACAACCCTTGTATTATAGAGCATTTTATAATTTTACTGAATAAATTTACATTTCTGTCTCGAAATTATTGTACTTATCAATCATGAAACTTCAATTGTTTAACAGCAGATAATCTTTGAGAGAATTTAGCATTTGTAATTCTAAAGCACCATTTAAAGGTTTGGATATGACCCCCCCCCCCCTTCCCCATGAAAGAAGGGGCTGGTGATATGATAAAATAAATATTAAATTCCAAACCCTGTGAACGACTTAACGAGTCAATTTTCACACCCTTTGAGCAATAATTTTGGTCAAATTCAGTGCATTCCAAAAGTCCCTCCTCCCAGGACAGAGTCAAATACCACACTCTTGGACAATATGTGTTGAATTCCCAACTTTCCTTACATGGGGGGTCAATTTTTACACCCTTTAAGCAATAATTTTGGTCAAATACAGTGCATTCCAAAAGTCCCTACTTCCAGAGTCAAATACCACACCCTTGGACAATATGATTTGTCAAATTCTCAACTTTCCTTACAAGGGGGGGGGGGGGTCTCAGGCAAATGTTTGAATGGTGCATAAAAAGTACTTTGTACCAATGAAACATCCTTTTGTCAGGGCAGCATTTCTCAATTTCTGGGACTCTCCTTATATATATTTATATAAATTATTATAGGTTTAAAGCATAAAGCTGGAGAAATGCAGTTATTTGCAAAGTAGATCGTTTTTATTGTATATGGAACATTTTTTTAATGTCATGGTAGTTTCCAATGATATATGGGGGTTAAATTAAGGTAGTTTTACAAATCTTTTCCCAGTGTTTAACTAACTACTTCAGAATAAAAATATATTTATTCATTCTCATATCTCATTCAATTTCAACCTGAAATCTCTAGATTTCCAAAAAAAGGAAACAAACATGGAGAAATCATGAAAATTTTGAAATTTTTATCTTATTAAATTAAAAATTTATATAACAGTATAGCATGTAGTCATATGACAATAAAAGCATGGAGGATATATTGTTAAACAGTCTCGAGCATGGAATGGAATTAAAATAGGTCCCCTTTCATTTCTTATGCCCCCTTTGACATCAGAAATACCACCATGACATTTTAAAAGTGATATTCATATGCTAAGTGTGTACTTACATGAGTTAACTGTATGTCTCGTTTTAGCACTTGTACAATAAGCTTCTATTACTTTCAACACTAAGGCATCTTCACTGGCAATGATGTCCTCTGAAATATAAATTAGAATTTAGTATGAAATTAATTGTTTTAATTTTATACAGTAATTACCTTATATCACATACACTAGGAGTCTTCGCTAGCAATTTTCTTCTGAAATATTATTCGCAAAAATAAACCTGACAATTCAGATTATGCACTCATCACCCAATAATTTTGGGTAGCTGCACATCTAAATATATATATCCCAGGGGTTTCATTACCAGCAGGCAACAGGCGATTTATTTTCAATGATTGTGTTCACAAAATCGCCTGTTGTTTTCAGAGACATTTCAACTTTTTCATGTTAAATTAATGATTTCCATTAATTTTGCCTGTTGTTCTCATTTATTTAGACTGTTTAGAAATTCTAATGAAACCCCCGATATATCTGCAAAACCCTAGGTGTTTGTTTCCATAAGGAAATTGCCATGAAAATTTAAATTACCAAAATTTCAATTTTGCACCTTATGAGTTTCAATTGTACATCTTTATGTGTTGATCTCATTTACATAATACATAAATTAAGTTTCATATAATATCAATGTAGGAATTTAAAAAATAAACTAGATTTGACTATACTTTTACAACAATAATAAACTAATAAATTCACACCAAATTACCCCTTTAAATCAAAAAAAAAAAGTATAACTTATATACAATACATACAAAAACACTACCCTATATCGACAATACATTAATATTACAGTAAGTAAGTAAGTAAGTAAGTAAGTAAGGTATTTATTAGAGTCTCACGCTGTACAATTTAAAATACATGTTGATACAATTGATTAAAACAACAGCTCAGCCGGCTCCGGCTTATGAGAGACTTAAAGATCGAATAGTTCTATGAGTATAAAATGTCTAAAAATGTAAATCTAATATTGCACCTTGTATTATATTACACTTCATAGCATCTTCGTGTTATCATGATTTTATTTATTGTTTTCGCTATTAGTCTTTGTACTGATATAGTGTTCATCATTGTGCAATATTTGCCCATGCTCGATAAGTTGTTAAAGTCCGGTATTTGAAGAGCACATGCTTCTATAAGGGTTTGTCTATTGTCATCGTGTAGGGGGCAATCAATTAGGATATGGATTTCGTCTTCAACACTTTGGTTGCATAAGCATACTCTGTCGTGTAATTCGACACCTGTGAATCGCCCGGTTTCAATTCTTATAGGGAGGGTTCCTGATCGAATTCGTGCCAAGTAACTACGTTCATATTTATGCATAGGTAATTGAACGTACGGCTCAGGGGTTGTCGCATGCGGTTTATGTAGTCTATATGTTCTTAGTTTATTGCCATGTTCTTGGTTTCTGCGATTTTACATCCTAGCTTTATACATACATAACAAGATAGTTCTTTGTATAAGATGCTGAAATTGTCAAGGTCCTTTGTTAACAAAACATAGAATAACTAAATAGGTAGAATACCATTCCTCTTTTTACAAATACAAATGAAAAGAGCATGACTTTTATGTAAAAACCATGGCCAGCCATATTACATATGAAACTATAGCCATTTATATACAACATGTAATTTATATACAATATGTACAAAACCATAGACATTTATATACAATATATACAAAAAATGTGTACAAAATGTCCCCACCAAGTGGTGATCCCGTGAAATGGTTATCCTGAAAATGAGTAGACAAGACTTTACCAACACAATTTGAGGACGGAAAATCCAAAGTGGCCACCTTAAAATTTACCCAGAATGCCAAACATTTAGTCAGTTCTAGATTTTCATACTAAGAACCACCCCTGAAAATTTGAAATTGATCCGTCACACAGTTAACCAGAAAACATGTAAACAAGACTTTACAGACAAGATTTCAGGATGGAAAATCCAAAATGGCTGCCTTGACATTTACCAAGAATGTCAAAAAACTAATCTGTTTGTAGATTTTCATACTAAGAATCATCCCTGAAAATATGAAATTGATCTACCAAACGGTTCACCTGTAAACGGGTAGACAAGACTTTACAGGCAAGATTTTAAGACGGAAAATCCAAAATGGCTGCCTTGACATTTACCCAGAATGCAAAAAAACTAATCAGTTCTAGATTTTCATACAAAGAATCATCCCTGAAAATTTGAAATTGATCTACCAAACAGTTCACCTGAAAACGAGTAGACAAGACTTTACAGACAAGATTTTAGGACGGAAAATCCAAAATGGCTGCCTTGACATTTACCCAGAATGCCAAAAAACTAATGAGATCTAGATTTTTATACTAAGACTCATCCCTGAAAATTTGAAATTGATCCACCAAACGGTTCACCTGAAAACGCGCAGACAAGACTTCACAGACAAGATTTTAGGACCGAAAAATCCAAAATGGCAGACAATAAAAAAGTCCTTATGAGTTTTTGCTGATTTCTTTTTACAAAATTATCACATATAACTACTGTTAACAATAAAGTAGGCTTTTACAGCAAAGTACATCTGAAATTATTTATAAAGCTACTATAGTTAAAGTATGAAAACTCAAAAACACCATTCAATATGATACAAAGTATTATCGCACGCTAACTTTTCTTAAGACATTCAAAATGGCTGACATGACTGAGCTAGCAGGTCCAAAACCTAATCAGATCTAGAATGAAGTGAGCTGAACAAGATGTTAAAGTTTTAAAAGCAACTGTGAAGCAGTTTTTCTTAAAGTTTGCAGACAAGGATTTTAGCATTTGACTTCAAAATGGCCGACAAGAAGTAGGTTTCGAGTTAAATTTTTTTCATCCACATCTATAGGCACTCATAAGTTATTCCTGAAAATTAGAAGGTGATACCTGTAGCGGTTTTGGAGAAAACTGCCGGACGTACGGACGGACAGACAGACAGACAACCAGACAGACGGACGGACGCGCCTAGGACGACAATATGGCCCCACACTATGTGGTGGGGACATAAAAACACTTCTATATATATACTTTATATATAAAACTATAGCTACTTGTGAACTTTTTGGAAAAAAACATAGACATAACCATATCTATTTATATACAATATGTACACAACTATAGCCATTTATATTTTATATACAATATGTATATACCCATAGACATTTATATACAATATATACAAGACCACAGACATTTCTACAATATGTACAATATAAAATGAAGAGATATTAACCTGGCCTAATGTAGTATTCTCTTTCCAGAGATTTTGTTCTTGCTTTAAGTCCAGCATAAAAGTATTTAAAATATTAATATTTTGAGAAAAATAATACAGTGTACTGCCAAATGCAAGTAAAATAACAACTTATTATTCTCAAATGAAAGGCAATTTAAGGACAGTGTAACCAATTATGGGATGGATTTAAAATACATGTGAAACTGACATTTAATTTGGTACACACCCTGTGATATGGGTCTATATAAGCTCTTTTGGGAGAAATATTTTGGTTATTTAAATTATCATGTAAAGAATGAATGTATGACTTACCACTATAAGTAATAAAAAGATAAAAACATATGACTTTATCTATGGACATCACAGTATAATTGGAATCTAACAGCACTGATATAAATATATAAACACAAAAAAAGAATGATTTTAAAGAATTTTATAATTGTAACTTATGCCAAAAAAATTGTCAATGACAGTCACTGAAATGATAGCTACAACAATACGGTATAAACCCTGTATATCGGAACACCTCTCTTCTCTTATCTAAACACATCAGTCCCATTTTTTCAAACTAGCAAATATAACTATGTTAAATAACTCAAAATGTGAACACATGCTAAAGTGAACCTTTATCACCATTGGTCCTCAGTAATCAAAGGGTTAATAATATCATTTTTATTTTCATAATTGTTCATTATTTCTTATTGTCCAATTTTCTCATAGGAACACCTATAATAGTACAATAATGTCATTTCCAAGGGCAATATAGTGAAATATTGGACCAGGGAAATTGCCGGTGGTTAAATGCATTCTCGACTGGTCTGAGACCACCACTATGACGTCACATATTGCTCAGGTCGATATAGTAAAATGAACGGTTTCTAAACTAGCACTAAAACCCCTAGAACTGGCCCGGCAAGGTGGATATTGGTGCATATACCAAGAGAATCAATTCGGATTAGGCTATACAAGTATTACAATCTTTTTTTAGTAATCCAATTCTTAGAAGATCTCACCTGTTCTAGGAATTAAATGTTTGTTCAAATTAAGATACACCTAAGGTGAGTATATACATAATCTCAAGTGGTACATGTTGTCATCCAAACAAAATTTAGGATGTCAACATTTTCTTACTTCATATGAAAAATTAAAAACCAATCCTATATAAGGCTAATGGTTTTTAGTGAAAGAGATTGTATTTTCATGTGATTATATGTGAAATAATGGCAACACAACCCAAACATTTCAGATTAACGCGTCTCAAATAAATCAGTCAGTGTCTCTTTAAACCAAAGGTATGTCAAGTCAACATACTTAAAACTATACAAAGTCCAATTAACAATTCTAAGAACTGGCATAAAATGGAGGACATTTATGCCCATATTAGGAAAAATAAAGCTACGTATATTGATGAAACAAACTGAAAATCAAAGAGGCTAGAAACTGTCACTCGAAGTGGACGTCTTATTTAAACTGAATCGTTTAATAAACCGAGAAAGGCGAGTGTGATTTTATTTAAAATTTGGCATTGCATTTTTTAAATCGTAAAAAAAAACAGGAAAATGAATCATTATGTAAGGATAGATGAATTCATATGTTAAATGATAAAAAATAACATTTTTTTAAAAAGAACATTAATCATTGTTTTTCATGAAAAGTGAACAAAAATAACATTTTGGATGATAAATAAAGACAACAAACAAATTGATAAAAACATATTTTTCTTAATCTTTGAATTTTTGCTTATCAAGAATTCAATTTTTTTAAAAAGAATGAACAAGAAAATCAACATGTACATATAAATTAATTTCAACAATATTAAATAGATAAGAAGACATTTACATGACATATTGTCGCCATTTTCTAAAATAAAATGAATATTCACACAGAAATAAATTAATTATCTACAGATAACACGATCATCATGTCTGTGTATGTGTTCTACAATCCGAAAAACAACTGTTACAAGATCGGACAGAGTGAGAAGGTTGGAAGGAGACTACGCGAAATTAAAGAACAATATCCTGACACGTTTGAAGTCTTGAGAGAAGCTGTTGGATCGCCTCAATCAGCTGAATCTGCAGCCCAAACAAAGTAAGGATAAAATGTCTAAGTCTGAAAGAACCATGTGACATACTTGTACTAAATGATGCCATTATTATTATTTTTCATCATTTAATTACAGTATATGTCTATGCTTGAGAAATAACTTTTTAATAAATTTTTATGGTGCTTTTCAAATAAATTAAGTACTTAAAAATATGAAATACAAAAATTAATGAACAATGCTATATTTTGGGGAAAATATAGTTAAAAAGCAAAACTCTTAAACTGTCTAATAAATGAAGCAACCTTTTAAAAATATCTAAAATAAAACAATTCTTAAATATTTCCAGAGTCATGAATGAACTGGGTATGCGACAAGTTAATGATGGTTCGAATAAATCTGATTGGTTCAAAACATCGCAAAATGTCTCAAGCAGCGATGTAAAAGAAACAGTCATGAATGCTATCTCAGCTTACAGATAGACAAGACAATGTTAGCAACTCATATGTAAGTGTAGATCTAATAAGTTTTTTTTATTCAGTTGAATCAAAAAGGCAGTTTTAAGTAAAAACTTTATCTTGTTGAATTTGTAGAATATGTGAGACTTCATATAATATTCAACATAAATAAGTTATATCAATGTCTCTGATGGAAAATAAAATTGTTCACTTTACATAAAACGGCACCACAATATTAACAGATTTTATTTTATTTTTTCATTTATTAAAATCAATGTAACATATTTACAGGTTTTAGTGGCTATGATGTATTGAGATTAAAACTCACAGCATTTTGTCACACTTACAATCTACAATATTTTCCCAAGTAGCATTCCTCTAAATCCATATTTCCCACATAAAATATAAGAATTCTTATTTGATTTCATAAGAATAAATTTCATTTCTATTCTTTTTTCAGGTTCACAGATAAACAACCAACAGCTATCACAAATAGAAGCATGACAAGATTATATTTATAAAAATTGGACATTGAATTATTCAATTTATGAACATTCCATAATAATTATAGTTTAAATGAAAACAAAATCAATCGCAATACTGCAAGTTGCTTAAAGTATACATTTCCCTTTCAATTTCCAGTGTATAGGTGCTTGTATTTTATGTGTTTGGGGACTGTACATGATAATTCATATAATTCAATTATGTGCTGAATATGATGAAATTAAATGTTATCCAATATTGTCTGAATTACCAGAAATAAATAATGTTACTATAGTAGTATGTAATTAAATATAGAACATTCTGAAATCATAATGAAGCAAAATATAACAAACAGATTCTTGAATTAAAATCAGTAAAAAATAGTATTTGTTACAAAATGGGACCAAATGCCAGAATCATCAATTTATATCTGAATGAGTTATAGTTCTGTCACGTTTGTAAGGCAACAGTGTGGCGGCCATACCTTCCAAATTCGAGAGAAATACACAGCATATATATAGGGATTAAGCAGTACAATGTAGATTTTCTATGTGGATTTTGTTGACACTACGACTGATGTTTGGCCACTGTTAAGAGCAAATGTGACTGAGGCTTTATGAATAGTGTCCAAATGTCAAAAAGGAAATGTCATTTTATGGACATCAACATTTCTTGGCAATAAAAACATCATTTACATCACGACATCATCCTGAGAATATTAATTATTTTATTCCATAACTGTTGACACTTGGACACAATCCCTTATTAGCCAAATATTGTCGTATAATTTACTTAAAATTTGACTTTGTACATATATTTACTCTACATGTAAAAATACAACTGTATCTTCAAAATAAAATAATTGTTTTCGTGTATAAATATACACAATTTTTGATTCGATTGATTTGGTTTATTTGTGAACCTGAAAAAAGAATAAAAATTTTAATTAAATTCACAATGAATGACCATATAACTATTCAGTCTTTCCATTTAATAATGTTTTAGTCATTGTAATCGCAGTTCTACCACTGACTTCAATTAATGTTTTTTAAAGTCATCCTTATTTCCTGCTGAACTTCTTATATGTAATCTCAAAATCAGATTCATAATAGAAATAATAGAAATAATTGATTGTATGAATTTGTTTGTCTGTAATAAAACTTGATTAATACTGTTGATTTATACAAAAATGATATACATAGACTCTACTCTTAATAAATTATTCAGCTTACTGAAATGTTATTTTTGTTAAATTTAGGCTATCCATGTCCAGGTTCCACCATGGGCTTTTTAGCTTTTTTCAGATATATTATGGATTCTTATATGGCCTCCCTCAGTTATTTTTCATTATTAAATGTTCGACTAGAACAAGTTCAAAATTATCATATCATGGGTAAAACATAATTTAATTTAGTGATAGGCAAAGTTGCTAAACTATATATATACTGTATAAGGCCGGGCCTATGTATAAATATAAGGATATTTTCATAAATTTTACTTATAATGAGGACACAAATTATCATTCTAGAAAATATAATCAATGAATGCATGTTGTGTGAATTGTATGGTCATTGGCATGACAACACTTGGTTTGGCCAACAATAAGAATAGTGTTATAAAAAATGCTACCTTTATAATTGCATCCAAAGACAATTGACCCCTCCCCCACATACAAACACCCTTATAAGGACCAGTATACAAGTATAAGGATATTATTTCTAAGAAGTTAATGTTTTCAAAACTGAACTTCTAAGAATTAGAATTGTCTGATTTAGTATGACATTGACATTGATACTTAAATAAATGTCAAGTATGTTTATGTCATGAATTTTTTTATTTAACCATGTGCCGACTTCTTAGAAGTACCCCATTTAGTAGAAACCCAATTCTTAGAATAACTGTTCTTTATTTGGTATGTTTTACAAAGCTTAAAAATACAATACACAATAGCAACAGATTCTATATTAATTCATGTAATCTACAAAATAACATGGTTTTACGATAAATTCAAATTGTAGTATACAACTCAGAAGGCCCTGGCAAAATTTTGTACCCATCCCCCCCTGATGCCACAAGTTCTAATTGCATTTCATAGAACTCAGATCACTTGGCTGGGAATGTCTATTTATAAAAATTATGTACCCCCCCCCCCCCACCCTCCCTTGTCAATACCATAATTTAAGCTGCATTTCTTAGAACTCGGGTCACTTGTCTGGGAAGGTCAATTTATAGATTGCAAAAATACATCCCCTCCCAACACCTTCGGTCACTATCATAATTTCAGGCTGCATTTCTGGGAACTCAGATTACATGACTGGGAATGTCAATTTATAGATTGTCACATATTTCTACAGAGCTTTTATAGATTTTTGATGTTAGTTTGCAGTTTGCATCCAGTTAAGGCACACAAGTACAAAAAATAAACTATCTCAATGCAATTTGTAACATTTATAAAAGTATTCTGAAATCGACAAAGTAAATTATTCTGAAATCAACAAATGTAAGTACATGTTTATATAAAAATATATACTTATTAAATTGAAATGCATTTTTAAATAAACCCATATAGGTACACAAGTTTTGGAATGACAGTATAGAAGAAGCTGAAGTCTTGCAAAATGATGAATGTTGATGTCTGATTTATTGATTTTTTAAAAAGTACTGTTCTTATTTGTTCTATGATATATTTGAAGTCTTGCAAAATGATGGATGTTGATGTCTGATAAATTGATTTTTTAAAGATTTATGTTCTTAAAGATTTTGTTCTATAGATCTATGATATATTTGGAGGCAAGCTTAGTTATGATATTGACTGTATCAATAACAAAATACTTCTGCCATCTTGAATCTTAACAAACATGGTATATTCGCATGGGATCAAAGGGTTTTATAAACTAAAAAAATTACAATATAAAAAAAACAAATATACGGGTAAAAAGGCACCAAACTACTGCAAATTAAGCATTTTGAATTTTTTTTGAATAACATTTAAAAGTTTAAGAATTGATATTTATGCCTTATGATTTGGAAATGACATTATTACTGTCTCAATCTTTTCTGACTTCACAAGCTGTGATGTGAGATTTCACCTGCTTTTTCCAACTTATTGTATTGTATTGTATTGCATTGTATTGTATGTAATATATTTACTGCCTCATTTATTTAAGATATTATGATCATGTTTTATATATAAAATATACAAAACTTGAAAGATTGAATTATTTGATATATTATAAAATGTTAGTTTTGGGGGAAAATTATTATTACAGTTTAGATGTCATGACCTGACATATTAGTCATTACAAAATGAATATATTGTACAAAACTACACTACACTACACTAAGTCTAAGCTATCATATTATATACAATTTATACAAAAAACTTGTTATTTACATATGTTATAATATGCTTTAAGTGTTATGCACACAAAATGTTAATCTCCAGGCAAGTTTAAGTTTTTGAATGGTTTTGTAATAAAACTTCCAACTTGCTTTTGCACATATTTATCTTTTGAAGAATAAGTGATGCTGTCAAACATTATTTTTCTATTTTCTCTATGTATTTGGCATTTAATCATGAAATGAACTTCATTTTCTATTTCCCCACAAAACTTACATAATCTTTCATATTCGGGTTTTGGCCGTGGTTTCACATGTCTACCAAGTTGTATTTGTAACTTATGTGAACTTAATCTCAGTTGTGAAAATGATTGCCTGTGATTTTTGTTTTGATGGCTTAAATATTGTTCTCTTTCAAAAGTTGTTTTGAATTTAATGTATGTTCTTAAAACTGGGTATAATTGTAAATCACACTTCCATTTCTCCTTATAATTTTGGTGCAATGTTTTAGTTAGGTTCTTTTGGAATACATTGTCATCCTCAACAACTTGTTCATTCCAAGTGCTTTGGAGATTACAATCTTTTAAAATATTATGAACCTTACTTGACCAAGTATTTTTAAATCCTAAACTGTACATTTCATAGTCATAAGAAGGAGGTTATCTGGACAAAGTTGTATAAGCCATATCCAATATTTAATAAGATGAATATCAAAGCACAAACTAAGGGGAAAACGACCCAGCTCTCCATAGACTGCTAGGGTTGCAGTTGATGTTTTCACACCAAGAATGCTTTTTAAAAAGGACAGGTGAATAGTTTCAAGTGACTTGATATGTTTTTTACTTGACCATATTTCTGAACCATACATCAAAATTGGTTGGACAATTAAGTGAATCAAATAAATGTAAGGCACCTGATATGGGAATGTCATTAAACTTATTGTTTGTTATATTGTTGCTTTATTTTGAATAAAGCTTTTCTAGATTGTTCTTTAAGATAGCATATTTGTTTATCGAAATTATTTATAGTACTTGATAAAAACAAAATATTTATATTGGGATAACATATGTCAGAATACCTAAAAACTAGATTTTCATTAGACAAGTCTCTAGCTGTTACAGATACTGAAATAATTCAAATCAAAACTAAGGTGCTATTTCGCTTGCATATCAAACTCATAAAATAAAAATAAAAGTGTCTCAAATTCCAGGATTTTCAGCTAAATATCATAAATTAATAGATTACTTAATACATTCAAAATGACAACATCAACTGAATTTGTGAAATGAAGATTTAATAAATATTTTATGAGAAGTGTAAGGTAAGTACAGTGAAAATGCATTTCATTTTTTGAATAAACTTCTGCTCTTTTTATGAAGGATGATTTCTTATATTATTTTAAAATATTCAACAATCAGATGCACTAGTATGATAAATGATAGCCTCAAAATTAATTGTAATTTATTCAGGTAAATGTTAAATTAAAACAAGGATATTATCTCTTTGTGACATAACATTACCTAGGTAACTTGCTTATCAATCAAATGACCACAGTGAAATATTATAGGGAATAATATATTCGTTTTTAGATGCAAAATATTTGTTTATTTTTGATTGCTTGTTGTTTGGCCAACAACTGTGCAGTCTCTGACATGTTATTTTTGATTTAAATATCCCTCCCTATACTTTAAACTTAAATTTTTTTGAAAATAAAATGCATGGGTACTATATCTAAAATATTATATATTTTTCATATGATATAATATTGCACTGTGGTTCTTTGATCGCTTATAATAAGGATTAATAGATTTCACTTGATCTTTTTATTTATCTGTATCTTTAATTTTCTATGTGATACAATTTATATCTTATAAATAATTCAAAATGGTGTATGATATATTGAAATAAACATTGCAATATGAAAAGATGACCATCAGCTGACTTAACAAGTAATTAGTATGTTAAAATAGACTGCCTACTGTGTCTAAACAGGGCCAACATAGTACAGCAGATCGTTTTAGTTCATGTATTTTAATATAATATTCATAGTTACTAATAGTAGGGTAAGTAATCAACACAAGCTTGGCAAGTGAACCGTTTACAGTGTTGCATATACTCATGACTTAATGAAACAGCAGAATAGATGTTTAAAATTCACATTCACACTTCAGGAGTTCCATATTTTTGTATTGTATCAGGATTATTGCAAGGATCTAAATATATGAGAGGCAAACTTTGAAATACAGGTGAGGCAAAACTTTGGTGAGCCAAACAGGATATAAACATTAAATGTTGGCGAGGCAATCACTGAAAATGTAAAGATCCAATCAAAAATCAATAAAAAACAAGTTTTTCTATATTTCAGATTGAATTCTGTGCAGCTTTACCATAGATGTCAAAAATGTCTGTTTATGTCATATACGACCTTGACAATAACTGTTTCAAAATAGGAAAGAGCGATGATGTTGAAGGACGTTTAAGTGAGATCCGTGAGCAACACCCGAGAGCAGTCGAAGTGATGAGACAAACAGTTAGAACTGAGCATGCCTCCGCTGCCGAATCTGCGGCTCATTCAAGGTCAGGGAAATAAATATTAGGAAGGAAGCTACGTGTTTTAAAATAAATCCAATGGCCCTACACAAGAAAGGAAATCTTATACTATACAAGTTAAGATCCAGATATTCTGATAAAAATGCTCTCATTTCTTTATTTTTGGAAGTTATTGCTTGTAATTTGGACAGACAAAAGATAATTTATTTTGGCAAAAGATATAAAAAATATAAATTTTATTCCTTCATAACTCTCCTCACGGGAGAACTTTTTTTTCTTTGCCATGGTAACGGCACCTGTATAAAGCCAAATTTTTACCATCAGAAATTCAGAGCTCCCTCAAAATATTTAGATTTGAATACTTGAAGGAGGGAACATTTGTATGGGTTTTATAGAACTTGTTCATGTGAAAATACTCTTGACAGAGTTTGTTTACTTGACCGATTACAATAATACAACTAAATCAAAAGTGTTTTTGATAACTTTGGAAAATAATGTTTCGATGATATTGTTACAGCAGATCGTTTTAGTTCATGTATTTTAATTCAATATTCATATTTACTATTAATAGGGTAAGTCATCAACACAAGCTTGGCTAGTGAACCGTTTTGTGAAGTTTTTAGTTGCTTAGTTAAGAAATTTAAGGCTTTGATTTTACCTTTATATTTCTTTACATCTATTTTGTTCCTTGCATAAACCAGGAAGCAGGAGCATTCTACAGAAGTATTTGAGCAGCTTCTTTGTGACTGTTAACTTAACCAGAACAACGGCAACGCCAAAGCGTAGCGAATCCCATCGAACAGAAATGGCTGGCATTTTTACAAACGAAGCGCAAATATCATAAAACAACACACCAGAAAGGCCACCATTTTCAAAATGGTTGCTCACTAGCCAAGTTGTCATCAGAAGAAATAATATGCTTTTAAGTAGCCACCTCTAAAATTTTTGAAAAATCGCACACATGCTTGTAAAATAACACACATAAAAATGGTGGCCATTTTTCAAAATGGCCGACTACTCCCTAAAGTTTTATTAGACAATGTGCCCTGCTTAAAGTATTCACATATCAAATATGAACAAAATCGCTCCACTACTTTTCGAGTTATAGTAAAATACGTTAAAATGGCGGCCATTTTTCAAAATTGTTTTCAAAATGGCCGCCTTCTACCAAAAGTGTCATAGGACAGTGTGCCATGCTTATAGTATTCACATACCAAATATGAACAAAATCGCTCCACTACTTTTCGAGTTATAGTAAAATACGTTAAAATGGCGGCCATTTTGAAAAATGGCCACCTTCTACCAAAAGTGTCTTTAGACAGTGTGCAATGCTTATAGTATCCACATACCAAATATAAACAAAATCGCTCCACTACTTTTTGAGTTACAGCAAAAATCGTAAAATAAAGAGTAAAGGCCGCCATTTTTCAAGATGGCTGCCATGTGCTTCTTTAATATCTACATTTGTAGCATTATTAACGTCCTTTATAATTTTTTTACATTTAAAACATATTGCTATTACAGTTTACATATTGCACCTAAATTACTGTAAAATCGTCACTAAAATGGCCGCCATTTTGAAATGAGCGGCCATTTTGAAAATCGGCTTTCGAGCAGAACTTCTTACCCTATAGGGTATATGTGTACAAAATATGAACAAAATCTGGCCAACCGTATTTGAGTTATTGCCCGGACGGACGGACGGACGGACAGACGGACGGACGGACGGACGGACGGACGGACGTACAGACGTACGTACGGACGGACGGACGGACGGACGGACGGAGGCGTTCCCTATATCCCTCCGAACTTCGTTCGATGGGATAAAAATCAAGTTTGTTTTAATGACTATTTCACTCCAACTTTAAACCTTAACATTTTCTAAGAAAGTCTTTAAAAATCAAAGTTTTTATTTTCAAATTATTTTTCAGGGTCCAGACACGTCTCAATATGGTGCCAATATGTATCGATCCTAATGACTCTGATTGGTTTAAACCATCAATTAGAGGAATAACAAAAAGGACAATAGAACAGACAATAAAAGAAGCTATCATACAGTACACATAGATGGCGCTTTGGTTAGTAAACTTATCAGGTCCTGTGATGAATCATGTAACAAAAAATAATATGATGGTTTATATTATAATTTCAATTAGGGACAATATTCCCCACTCAACAGCTAGTAAAATATCATATTTTCTATTAGTGGGTTAAAGCTTATCATTATCAATTATTTCTAAGAAAGGTTTTTGGCTACCTTTGTCAATTGCAGTACTTTGTCAATATGCAGTAAGTTAAAGTGTGTTGGAACTACGCTAATGTGAAAAAAATTGTATTGATCATTTGTTAAGGATCTTAACTTAGGCATTTTATGATTGAAATCATTTTTGACTTATCAGACTAATATAGGAGGATTGGCTCCCAGAGTGCAACATCGATATTTTTGCCATATATGGGCATGTCGTGATTACAAAATTTGAATTCAAACAGCCGCCATTTTGTTCGCTTCAGCATTTGGATCATGAATTTTGGTCTTATTTTCAAAAAAATCCCAAAACTCATAAGAAATGATCGAGAAATTGGTTCAGTTATAATTTCAGAAATTTACGAAATATTGACGAAAATATAGTTGAATTTCGATCCTGGAAGCCAATCCTTCTCGCAGACTGATATAAGATGCTAACATGTGTAGAACATGATGTAAATATCACTAGACAGAGGTCAACATTAGATAAACAGGATCATGGCCTGAGGGACAAAGTTATTTCAAAATAAAAAAATAGAGGTGGAGGAAATTTGGATGGGGAGTGTAACATGGATGGCAATATCCATATTTCTTTTACGCCATCATATTCTAAATTTCTAATTTTTCTTATTTATAAGATTTTCAGTAAGCAAAAGACAAATAAAAAGGGCATTTCAATTTTCATGTTCCATTGCCATCTTAAAAGAAAATAATGTTATCGACTCTTAAATTGCATATATAATATATATAGAGAGATATTCAGTCTTGTACAAATGTAAAGTATTTATAGCTTGTATTGTATTTAGAGCTTATGTATAGATAAATAGCAAAGACAGTGTTCTCCTAGGATTTTATCGGCTGAGCTCAAAATTATATCCATTCCATTTTGAATGTCAAAAATTGGTCAAAATCTCCTAAATTTTTCACAATTTTCTGAGTTTTCTATTTTCTCAACTTCAGGGTTTCAATTTCAACTAAAAATGGCAATTTCATTTTCTCAAGTATAGCAACCTATTGTCTTGATACTTGGGGGTTCACTGTACAATAAATATATGCCTTAATGTATACAATAAAGTTCTCTCTATGGGTATACTTGGAACTCAGTCAATATATTGCTAGATGTCCACAATATGTTTGGAAGAAGTTAAAAAAAAGGTCAATTTAACTTTGTGGAAAAGCTAATTTAAGGAAATTACTCATAATACTCACAGTTTGAAAGATATCTATGAGGGAAGGTGACTTATTATCAACAGTTATGTGAGTACAAAGTTGATTCTTTCATAATTTAAAGACTTGATTTTTCACTTTTCACAATTCAAGAGAAAATCAAATAAACATTTTAAAAGTGTGTGATTTTGGGGAGAGGGCAGCCTTTATGGTGACCATACTAAAATTAATTTTGTTTTTCTACAACTGCTGATAACTTGACACCATCCCCAGGTATTTACTTTTTGGGTGTAGGGGAGAGGGGGGATCACTGTTAAACATACATTGTGATTCAGTATGCCTTTGTACGGAAAACATTACCACACTGACAATGCGGTAAAACCTGTATATTGTGAACACCTATGGAGCCACAAAAAAGTGTTCAATGTGGGTAGGTGTTCACTACAGAGAAGGGATTTTATGCAGGAGTCAATGTAAAATGTGTCTTGAAGTGGTGTTCATAATACAAAGCACAGGTGTTCACAAAACAGAGGTGTTCACTATGACAGGTTTTACTGTGGTCCCTTACTGTACAGTATGAATGTTAGTGTTAAATTTGGGACAAGTGCCAGACTATTATATCATTTCATAAATCATGACCTATCATTTGAGGTATAGCCAGGCATAATGTAGCAATAGGTGAGGCAATCAAGGCAGGTGAGGCAAACGGGGCACCACTATTTTACCATCAAAGTAATATTCAGACCACTTTTTACTGAAACAGTTTAATGATCTACAAAAGCAGCTATTTATCTTTTATGTTATATTTGCCTCACCTATTTAAATTTGCCTCACCTGTTTTCAGGCTTAGCTATGCCTCTGATCATGATTAATAAGCCATGGATAACCAAGAGATATACATAATATGTAGAAAAAACAGGACATAATGTATAATAATATTTTAGAAATAAGAAATGTAATACTACACTGTTGTTGTCTACAAGTTTTGAGTTTTTATAAATAATTTGAAAATCATTTATTCTAACTTTCTAAAACACTTTTTCATACAAGGCATTAATGTGACAAAATATCACAACTTTGATAGTTATTGGAAACTGTTACAGACGCCAACATCCAAACATCGAATGCTGACTGCCCAACGCTATCCACAAAAAGTTGGTGATGACATAACAAGTTATCATTTAATGAACAATATAATCTCGTATATTCATGAATGCATTTTCGTAAGTAAAACATGAAAGTTGAGAGGAAATTAACCTCCTCAATCCCTGGCTCTACAATTGGTTGAAACTAGAGAATCTTTCATTTTTGCCACCTTTTGACATTTTACTACATATCAATACAACTTGAGATGTTCAACTTAGTAAAATTGGACGGCAGAGATAATTTCTACTCATTTTAAAACAATTTTTGTGTAAATTGTATGAACATTTTTCAAATAAGAGCAATTTTAGTGAACATATTTGTGACGAATTTTCTCATCACTCTGGGTTTCAAGGTCATTTCAGAGGTGACGAGAATTCTCGTCACTCCAGGTAGTCAAGAGGTTAAATATATTTTGGGGCAAACAGTACAGACCTACTAGGGTTCACTTACAGCAACCTTTAACAAGCATTGTCATAATGACATAACCCTATTAAGAATAAGTGGTATCGATTTCTAAGAACTGAAGGTATGCCAACTAATCAAAACATTGTTCGATTTGGATTTATTAACCAATCAAAACAAAAGCTCTTATCTCAATCGATTAACTAAAGTAAAAAATTCAAGTGGTCGCATATCTTAGTTATAACATGATTATGTAGGGGTGCAATTTTTTCAATAAATTGATTGGTTGTATTTTATTTATATCTATCGACATACATTATAAAATTAAATATCAGTCATTGTTTAAGATACAATTGACATAAAGAACAGGGAAAGTCGGGACAAGGGAGGACCAAGACTAGGTTCTAAGAAGTACCATTACTACATATCTGAAAAGTAAGTATTTAATTTATGACTTACATATAATATTTAAGGTGGGTTGATTTTTGGAATGTTCAAAATGTTATTTTATTTGCACTGAAAAACCATTTCGATAAAATATCAAATTGAATTTGCTTTCATCCTAAGTCCTCCAAAATTGATGTAACATTAATTGTAAGCTGAGGATGAAAGCAGTCCCCCCCCCCTCTGCAGGCATTATTGGTTCCTTTTTGAATTGGTCCTCATTTAGTTCTTGTAATGTATGCAATCCTACACATCAAGCCCTACATTGTTTTATTACAATTAGAGACAACATGCAAAATGAATGAAAATTGCTAAAAACAATTTAGGTAGATGAAATAAAATTGATCTATTCTGCTCCTAGGAAATGATGTACATATTCCCTCTGATTTTATCTTAACCAAACCCTGAATGAGATATGTATATTTCATGTGATATGGGAAATACATCATAGAAAGCAACCAATCAAATCACTAGATTTCTACATAGTATGTGATAGTATATACAGTAATATCAATATCTTATAGAGAAACTATGGTGGCATCTATATATGTGTTTTACGATGAAGCCAATGGGTACTTCAAGATTGGCCAAAGCGTTGATGTAGGACGGAGACTACATGAAGTACGATCGCGGCATCCACATACTGTTGAAGTCATGAGATGCCCGGTGGGACCTGGCATGGAGTTAATTGCGGAGAATTCTGCACATTCACAGTATGGAATTTTATCGATATTATAATGTATAGATAAATATCAAATATCATTTTTTGTCATTTTTTTAACAAGAATCAAGTTATCACTAGATATAAGGTTTTTATACAGAATTCAAGTAAGGATGCTCAGAGGAAAGGTGTTTATAAGGGACAGGTGTTAACTAGAGAAAGGTGTTCATGTCTATAGGTTTTACTGTACATACATATAGTATACTATTCTCCCACACTTTTCCTCAAGGTGCAAAATTCTGATGGAGTTGGTCAAAATATGCACATTTTAAATGATTTATTTCATTTTTAACTAAGTGTAATAGATAGGTTTTCAGGTGAATGCTAGCCCATTTTCATATTCCTCACTTGGTTCAATGTGGTGAGAACATTATATATACTATTACTTGTATATTTATAAAATCTCAGACAAATATAATTTTTCCAGAGTGCAGATCCGGCTGGGAATGCAGAAAGTTCAATACGATCAGAATGATTCTGATTGGTTCAAAAACCCACAGGGCTATTCTGCGGCCCAAGTGGTGGCAGTAGTGACATCAGCCATTGGTCAGTAGAGAATGAACAACAAAGAACTGACTTGTAATTTTTCATGATTAAATGATTTCAGAGGGATAAAAGTTTGACTCTTTTGACCTGTAATTAGCAAATTTGCTACATTGCTAGGATCGGTAATTAATTTCCTGAAAATTGACTAATTTTGATCGATTATATTCAAACAGTCATAACTTTTTAACTAGTGATCAGATGTTCTATGAAATTTTTAGGACATGCTGTCAATATATAGTTCTACCATTTCAAACCATCAAAACATAAATATTCCAGCAAAATAAAACAATAAAATAAAATAATATTCTATATAATAATAAAAATAAAATAATACCATTCAAAAATCCAAATTAAATTATCTTTTTCACCTCGTTTCATCAAGTATCACTGTCCGAATCATTGCATATTTGATCAAAATTATCCTCAGTAGCCCAAATACATATGAGAGTTCGAGTTCTAGCAGTAGCTATTTTAAATTCCTTTTTCTTTATTTCAAATAATATTGGAAAAAAACATTGGTTTATTTTATGAAAAAGTCACGAAATATCATTAATTTCCTGTTTATGTTTTTGTTTCATCCCGTACAAACATAATCCACAAGGTTAGACATAGCCTGACATCTATGAATACAACGAAAAACTTATCAGCATAGCTCGTGTATAAAAGTTGACTATAGTCGACATGCCGCAGTTACCGATAGGATTAATTAGTCGACGTGCCAGTCAAAAGAGTTAAACTGAATTATTATTTTCCAACATAAACAGCTAGATTTATGATGTGTGATGCTTTGCAGGTAATTAACAGCAATACTTGTAAAGAGGTTCACGACAATTTCAAAAATAATATAACTTTTACAGTCAGATGATATCAGTTGGATGTCAAGTAAATACATGTATAAAACTTAAGTGCAATATTTTATAATTTGAATGACAAGTTCACTTGAAAACTTAAGAGGTAAAGGATTGGAAAAAAGATTGAAAGCATATGCAAGAAATCATAGCCTAAGGTTGATAGAAATAATTTTAAAATAAAGATGGCATGGTAATCAATCTGTGTTTATTTATAAATATTCTCTTTGAAAAGATAATACTGGATTCTGTTGGTGCTGCCATCTTTATATATCGTCCCAGAACCTATGCAAGAAATAAATATTGAACTTCAAGTAATTTCTGGTGATATTTGATTTTTGTAAATTATGTATTTACTACATGTATGTCTTTTTTCGCAATAAAAACTGTCAAGTAGGGCAGCCATCTCTGTAATATCATTACTTATTGGTAAATTATTCTAGCTTTATATTTTATATCAAAGCTGTAAATGCCACTCTTACTGGTATAATCATGTGATAATAACAATATGTAACATGTGAGGCCCCTACACGATGCCGAAACGGCGCCGAATTATATTGGCTGTGTAGGCAGCTTTTGCCAAGGGGTTTCTCATTTTTTTAAAATTCCAAAGTCACTTGACAAGTGCTCAGAATAATGAAAAATTGTATGATTTTGAAAGAACCTGTGGTCAACGTGGTTCACTCACACCCCCATACCCCCCCTGCCCCTTCACCCTTCTGGCCTGGTTTTGTGCTACTATTTTGAGTCTTTAGTCTCTAACTCTACTTGGGTTCTTGGCAAACAAATTCTCTGCAAGACAAAGGATGGAAGCAAAGCTAAAAGAACATTCAATACATGCTGCATCTTATTCCTGTCTATTAGATGTGGATTGAGTCACTAGACTGGTAACCATGGTAACTTCCTCCAGTGTTCAGATCAATGATTATGTTTCATTTGTAATTCCACCATTCCTCAATCATTAATGCATTACAACGTGGAATTTGAAACAAATTGAGCCTAAAGCATATAGCACCAAATGCTGCTATAGAAACCAGGATAGAAGTGTTGCATAAAAATTCAATCCCTACCTTGTTTCCTCCTACTGGTTGACCTCCTAGTTCCCCTTGGGCTTTTATTTCCTTCTTCTTTGACAAACTGCGAGGGCCTCAGTGGTGGACATGGTCTAAGACATGACATGCTCCAAGTCTTGTTCAATTTAAGCGACAGTGGACTCATGATTTGGGCCATTTTTGCTGGTGTGAGAACACTGATGCTCGGATGTGAGCTTGAGATCTGAAATGAAATTATTGAAAAAGTGTAAACATTATGCCATTAACTATCTATACGATGTCCAGCATTGTAATATTTAACTGTTTGACCAAAATGTAATACTGCAGAAATAGTTTTGAAGAAAGACATTGAAGGTTAAAACTCAATTTCTTGGAAAGATTAGGTCATAAGTTCCAGGAATTGAGATGTGTGATTGGACAACGCTGTGTCTATGCTTACTGATATAAATTGGCCATTTTGTTAACCTTAAAATGAAAATACCCAGAATTGATTGAAGGGCTAAGCTTAATGAGGCCCGATCTGAAATGGATGAATATGTTTTAAGACATTCATTTAATACAGAGGAGGTACATTGTTCCCATCACTTACCTGTATTGTTTGGGGTTTGCTGGGTATTGGAGGAAGGGTGCTTTGTTGTGTTATTGCATCATACCATCTTTTCTGATCATTCATTGTGTTACAATAAACTGAAATCTTTTCTATCATACTGCCTGAAAATATAAATCACAAAGATTGTATTTTTTCAAAGATTTTACAAAATTTTTCCAATTTTTTTTAAAAAATTAACACAGCAATTACAACATTTTTTTATACAAGTTTGTGGAAACTACACATTTTTTGTATCAAAAACTATTTATCTTTACTGACATCCATCATTTTCAATGTTTTTGTCATATGTGTTTTTATCCTGAAATACCCATTCTTTTGGAATATCTCTGGTTTATTTATTTAGATTCCACTCCGTGCAAGCCAATATTTTGATCAAATAAGATATACCTATTCCTACAAGTCTATTCAGTAAAAGTACAATTATTTCAGATAAATTAATAATTGCTAAAGAATATATATATAATAGGATTTATTTGTACTGATGCCCTTTTAGGGCCAAACGTACATCCAACATACAATTTACAAAATTATATATATGTATATAAAAATATATGTCAATAAAATTTTGCCTAAAAAAACCTAGTCATTTATTTCTAACTGTGACCCCTCTTCCCATATCAAATTTTCCAGTTAATTACCTGTGAGTTCCAGTATATAGGACAGATTCTCTGGGTCTTCGACTCTGGTGACCCGTACGCTTGTAACTGGTAGCTTACCCTGTAATAAAAATATATAAATGTACGCCAGGCACTGTGAGCTAACCCTGTAATGTAATTCATACATGTACACAAGAAAACTTACATGAATACCAGTAACTGTGAGTTAACCCTGTAATTTAAAAAAATATATGTAAAGAGGGGAATATTGAAGGTTTGCATTCCATGCCTTTTTGGTCTTTCCCCTTATGACACGAGTACTTGCCTATCTATTTGTATCTACAGTCCTTGAAGTATCGATTGTTGTAGAAACAATATGACCAACTGGAACATTTCTAATTAGACCTCATCCAACCCTTTTCAACAATATATCACATATAAAATTTTAAAAAAATGGCACATACATACATGTAAATGCTGGCCATTTTTTAAAATGGCCGCCTACTACCCAAAATGTCATAAGACAGTATGCAATCCTTACAAATATTCACATATCAAATATGAACAAAATCACTCTATTACTTTTTGAATTATAATAAAAAATGTAAAATAACACACATAAAAATGATGGCCATTTTTCAAAATGGCCTACTACTCCCCAAAGTTTTATTAGACAATGTGCCATGTTTAAAGTATTCACATATCAAATATGAACAAAATCGCTCAAATACTTTTCGAGTTATAGTAAAAAATTTAAAAATGACAGCCATTTTTTAAAGTGGCCACCTACTACGCGAAGTATCATGAGACAGTGTGCAAGGCTCATAAGTATTCACATATCAAATATGAACACAATCGCTCCACTACTTTTCAAGTTCAAGTAAAAAACTACCCAAAGCGTCATTAGACAGTGTGCCATGCTTATAGTATTCACATATAAAATATAAACAAAATCACTATACTACTTTTTGAGTTATAGTAAAAATAGTAGAATAACACACGTAAAAATGGTGGCCATTTTTCAAAATGGCCGTCTACTATCCAAAATGTCATTAGACATTGGGCCATGCTTAAAGTATTCACATACCAAATATGAACAAAATCGCTCCACTACTTTTTGACTTACAGTAAATAATGTTAAATAACACACATAAAAATGGCGGCCATTTTGAAAAATGGCCGCCTACTACCAAAAATGATATTTGACATTGCGCCATGCTTAAAGTATTCACATACCAAATATGAACAAAATCGCTCAACTACTTTTCATTTCCTTATTAGTCTTAGAACTCTGACCATATCTTTAATATTTGATTTTTTGGCTTTTTGTATTTTATCTGTATCCATTTATTTTTAGCAATTGTCTTTTTGATATACAGGGTGATCCAGAAGTAACGTCAAAGATGTTGTAATTTCAAAAGTATTCATCAGATCTTCATGAAATTTGGTATACATGTACCCACAACATTTCTGATAGAAATTTGCCTATTGTCCATAACATCAGCTTCAATTGCTTTGATGGTTTGATCATCGAATGACGACACTGGCCTGCCTCCTCGCTGCTTGTCTACCACTTCATCATATCCACTGGAATACTTGTTAAACCACCTGTAAATGTTTCTCTCAGCAATGGCAGCTTTACCATATGCCTTCTTTATCTGTCTTATAGTCTCTTTTACACCTTTCCCCAACTTTACACAGAACTTAATGTTTGTTCTTTGCTCTATTTTACTCTGACTTGGCGCCATCTTGAATTGGGTGGGTTAGTGTCCTTGGTCATGTTAGTATTTGTCATGGATGATGGAAGCAATTCAAAGAAATTGAAAGCTTTTTATGAATGCCTATTGTGACATCACAACTATTACATATTTGTTACCATGGCAACAAATATAAAAATCATAGAAAACAAACAATGAACATTTTCAAATGTTACTGACTTTTTAAATTAGAGAAATTCACAAAAACGTTATGGTTTCTCTTCAATTTGCCCCGGGTTACGCGATATGGGGTTACTATAGCAACCATAATTTCAACCAATGAAATGATTGAATTCCAATCTTTGAGATGGTAACTCAGAAATGTTGTGGGTACATGTATACCAAATTTCATGAAGATCTGATGAATACTTTTGAAATTACAATGTCTTTGACGTTACTTCTGGATCACCCTGTATGCTGACAGTGTTTCTTTCTTATATCCTTGAGATACTAATTTTTTCCCCAAGTACTTGATTCTTTTGGAAGCAATTTTTTCATCACTGCAGACTCTTGATATTCTTATTATCTGTGACACATAAACTCCATATGACTGTTTTCTTGAAATGTTTCCCGAAAGGTCTGGATAGGAAACTATATTGAAATCAAAATCCTCTCTCTTATCATATATTTGTGTAGTAATTTTCTTGTGTTCTATTGTGAGTTTCATGTCGAGAAATGTTGCTTCATCGTTATTTGCATTTTCCTTGTTCAGTCTTAGTTCAGGAGGGTATATATTTTCCCTTTCAATTTCTAATTTTCCACCATTATTTATACTGCATAAGTCATCTATGAATCGAGCTGTTTTGTTATATTTCATTGCTCCTCTGTAGTCTTCTTTAAACATTTTTTCCATTGCTGTATACTCATATGCATAAAGATATAAATTTGCCATATATGGTGCTGGATCTATTCCCATCGGTATTCCAATTTTTTGTCGCATTATTTTGTTTCCAGCTTTAAAGTATGCATTATCTACTATGAAGTCTACTAGTTCAAAACAGTCTTCTTTATTAAAGGTAGTCCTTTTGGTTCCAGTTCCTCCCCATTTTGCATCTTCACCATTTACACTAATCTTCTGATTTCTTCTACCTTTAAATGCTTTTCCTATGGTCCATTTTAGTTTTTCTTTCAGATCTTGTAGGTTTATATTTGTATATAGGGTCGAAAAGTCAAATGTCACAATATTCCTTGCTCCTTTTCTCATATTTACTTCTTTGACAAATTCTAGCACATCATTGTTATTTTGGCAAATCCACATCCTGTTTGTTCCAGTTAGGTTTTTATTCCTATCAAATATTTTTCATTACATTTTTGCACTAATTTAAGAATTTTCGTTAGTTTTCTTGCTGCTGTTTTTATTGAACTTTTCTTTGATCCTATGATGTACCTAAATTTGATCGGGTTTTTGTGCATCTTTAACGTAAGGTGTATGTTTGGAAGTACGTTTTTTCCATCTTCTGGTGTGATGTTGAATTTATCTTGAATGATCCTCTTCATTTCATCTACAATAGATTTTGCGTCTCGTACTTCAATTTGTTCATATGTATCAGTTCGTATTTCTTCTTTAATTTTCTTGATGTAGTATTTTTTGCATATGAATCCAATGTTGTTAGCCGCCTTTGTCTATAGGAACTATAACGTACTCTTCTTTTAGTCTGTTTAATTCATGTATAGCTTCTGGATCTCGAAGCACTTGTTTTGGATTTCTTATATGCTTGAATTTTCCCCTTTTGAGTCTATCAATTTTCTCTTTCACTTTAGACATTACTTTAATTGTCCATTCATTTAATGCTGATTCTGCTATTTTTTCCTTTTTACTCCATTTCTTTGCACATTCTTTTATCCCTTTCTTTATTTCTCGGTAAGTGTTGTCAAAATTTATATTTCTTTTCTCCCTGTAATTAGGACGGACGGAGGCGTTCCCTATATCCCTTCGAACTTCGTTCGATGGGATAATGAGAGACAAAACCAAGCTATCCAACCTGATTAGGTATCATTGATTTCTTTGCTTCATAAAGCCTCAGTCACCTTTACTCTATGGTGGTTGTACCAAAGCCATAACTTCACAAAATCGATATAGAAAATGTACATCGCACTACTTATCCCTATATTTTGCTACATATTTCTCTGATTTTGGGAAACTTCACCAGCCATGCAGTGGCCATGAGTTGCTGTAATTTAATTCATGTTAAAACTCCTAAAAAGCCCCAAATGATCCATTTTGGGCCATTAAGATCTAATCAACATCAAACTGCAGCATTGTCTATCTCAGTCAGAGGATTGTTATTCCTATCAACCCCTAGGCTCCAAAGGGTTAAAACAAACCTTACCTCATAAGTAAATGTGCTCATATCTGCACTAGTCGATAACATCACAAGGACCCCTTGAAACAGCATAAACAGTCGATCCAGTTTTTCTTTACATGGAGGCTTTTGTATCCTCACATGTGACAGCAGTAACACATCTCCAAGTTTTGTAATTTCCTGAAATTGAAAAAAGTAACATTTCCAATTTCTTGAAATTAAAAACAATTTTTACCGATTAAGAAAAAACTTTTTATTAAACTAAGTATTGCAGAATCAATTTTTGTCATTACACTAATTTTTCCGAAAGATATATACTTTGATCAATCCAAATGGCATCGCTTCTTAGTTGCCACTATTTATTGCCATGAAACATTCGTACATACAAATACCACATAACAATTTTACAGCAAACAAATTAATTTTTAACCAACTTTTTGGAAAAGTGTATATGTTTAAAAAGAGTTCAATTGAATTTCTAAAAACATGTATTTAAAGTGACATTAAGAAAAATGGATGTTTTGCAAAAAGGTGGTATTTTGAAAATAATAATTTAATATGCTCTCACCTCCCCCTCCCATCCTCTTATAGAACTAGAAATGATATCAAACTCCAACTCCTTCATCTTCCTAAGTTCAACACATCCCACTGTGATGTCTTTATAAACCGCTATAGCTCTTTGTGTGTCCCCTCTGTCAATGTGACTTTCCTGAAAAAATGTGTATTTTAACTAATATTGCCTTAATTCAACACATCCCACTGTGATGTCTTTATAAACTGCTATAGCTCTTTGTGTGTCCCCTCTGTCAATGTGACTTTCCTGAAAAAATGTGTATTTTAACTAATATTGCCTTAATTCAACACATCCTATTGTGATGTCTTTATAAACCGCTATAGCTCTTTGTGTGTCCCCTCTGTCAATGTGACTTTCCTGAAAAAATGTGTATTTTAACTAATATTGCCTCAATTCAACACATCCCATCGTGATGTCTTTATAAACTGCTATAGCTCTTTGTGTGTCCCCTCTGTCAATGTGACTTTCCTGAAAAAATGTGTATTTTAACTAATATTGCCTCAATTCAACACATCCCATCGTGATGTCTTTATAAACTGCTATAGCTCTTTGTGTGTCCCCTCTGTCAATGTGACTTTCCTGAAATATATTTTATATTTTTACTATTACAAGGGTTGTCCAAAAAGTCTTGAAATTTTTGCCCTCTGTCATCAATTTTTATTCTCTTGGCCCCATATTTTACATGGATGAGCTTTGAACATTTGTTGTTCACTTTGTAAAGTTTGAAGGAATGACAGTGCATAGTTTTATTTTGATGAGCATTGCAAGAGTATGAGTTTTGCCCCACATGGGCACTTGTAACTTCCATGCATTCAACCTACCATATTGTTTTAAAAATAATCTACAAAATCTTAAAAACATTAATTTTTTATAAATCAAACTTGTTAACATGTTTAAGACCACATACTTCTAGACAAATGAGTACTCACTTCAATATGCCGTTCTAGTTCTTTTAAAAGTTGGGGGTATTTATCTAATCTGGTGAAAGTCTTTGACAGGTTTGTTGTCAAGGTCATTGATCCAGGAGGTGCTGCCCCCTGGCTTTCAGTGAATGTATTAAGTTCTTCCCTGAAAAAAAGAAAATCGTGAATTGAAAACCAAATGAAAAAAAACAAAGATAAGAGAGGGAAATATATAGAGATGAAACAAATCTAAGCAAAATGGGATGTTATACTACTATTTTCACAGTTTATGTTTAAAAAATGTAGAAAACTATTTTTTCTGTAAAGTTCTGATAATAAAATTGCCTTATAATTTGTTAAATTACATTTTGCATTTTTTCAATACAATACAATAAAAATAATTTCTCTTTTTCAAATATGAGAGAATCAATTTTGGATGGCTATTCTAAGGCACAAATCTGATATGACAGACTCTAAATACAACCAAAATTGAAATAGATTTACCTTTTTAAGGTGAGCACGGCTACAGCATGTGGGTGATTGGAACTGTATTGTTCATAGACTTCCTTCATTCTGGGTGCTGTGGACATAAACAAACCTCCTACTCTTTGTTGCGGAATGGGCAACCTTAAGATTCAAAAAATAGATTACTTTAATTAAAGTGGTACTTATAGTGTCTGCCTTTTTTGGAGCAAAGAAAATATATTTCTTGCATGGTTTAGGGGTGATGTAGAATTTTTCAGAAATTTCAGAAAAATCGATGATTTCATTTAAATATCTGAGACAACTAGAATGAGATAACATGAGTAGATGTAGGTACTCTTCATCTAATATCTCTCAATCGGCAAAGAATAAAGAAAACAGGCATGTAGTTAACACTCTACAAAATTGTACAAGTGTACAAAATTGTCAGAAATCAGACGCTTCATTCAAATTGAGTAAAATAACGACAACAAATCAATATATATTACTTTGCACATTCCTCTATTGTGTTGAGAAAGTCTTGCTGGAAGTTGATCAGTTCCTCAAGGTTGCCACACAGCTGACTGTATTCTCCTGGACTGAGGCTGTAAACATATGATTAATACAGGTTCATATGTGGGTCTCATCCCAAAAATTTAAAATTCAATATATTAGGTTCAAATATGAATTCAAAATTAAATATATTAGGTTCAAATATGAATTCAACTTTCAATATAGGTTCAAATGTGAATTCAAAATTAAATATAGGTTCAAATATGAATTCAACATTCAATGTATTGTAGGTTCAACATTAATTCAACATTCAATCTTTAGGTTCAAATATGAATTCAAAATTCAATATGGGTTCAAATATGAATTCAAAATTAAATATAGGTTCAAATATGAATTAAAAATTCAATATAGATTCAAGTATGAATTCAAAATTCAATATAGGTTCAAATATGAATTCAAAATTCAATATATTAGGTTCAAATATGAATTCAACTTTCAATATAGGTTCAAATATGAATTCAAAATTAAATATAGGTTCAAATATGAATTCAACATTCAATGTATTGTAGGTTCAACATTAATTCAACATTCAATCTTAAGGTTCAAATATGAATTCAAAATTCAATTTAGGTTCAAATATAAAATCAACTTTCAATATAGGTTCAAATATGAATTCAAAATTCAATATAGGTTCACATATGAAATCAACAGGGGTGAAACGGGTTGAAAATTTTCTAGGATGGGTTCCATTCGGGTTTGGGAATCAAATCAAATATGACTGAATACATGTTCAACGCAATTCAATTCAATGATAATGTGATCGATCTCTTTTTCCGCTTGATTTTTTTTTTCTCCAAAGGCGTGTGTGTGTTGTGTTAGACCCCTCCATGTGAGAAGGGGTGGGGATTTTGACAAAAAATTGGGCAACCTTATGAGTCAATCCCTCCCACCCTGGCAGAAATAATAGCTGGTAAAATTTCAAAAATCCCACCACCTGAAACAATACTGCATGTGAAATTCTCTATTTTCCTTACGGGGGGGGGGGGGGTCTCACAGAATCATTTGAAAGGTACGTAAATGTTGATTTAATGGGATTTATTGATTTCTTTAGTTAATCAGACATGATTTGTTATAATCAAGCTTTACTGTCAGTTTAATCATATGACGTAATTACAATGTTATTACATAGTAATTGTAATAATAAACCCTTCCTTTATTTTATTTAATTTAGAAATATACATAACATGTACATTTGCTAGTCACACTCACTGATTAGTATTGCAATAATTACATTTCATTTAATTGCCCCATTAGTTACTGTAATTACGTTATGATTGTAATCACAGAGTTATTGAATTATTCCGATGACATCATGTCCAGAACAAGACTAAAATATCTAGACATCGAATAATTGATGGTTACACAAGAAAGTTACTACAAACTGCAAAATTCTTTCTTGGTTCTATTTTATTGATAATTATTTTCATAGACATGTTTATTCACTAATAATACACTAACTAATTCTCTTACTTATTGATATCCAAATATAAACGTTTCATTTACAGGAAAACCTGTCTAATCTGAACACTATTTGGAAAAGGCAAAATTGTTCGGATGAGGAGGTGTTCACATTTCAAGGTTTAATTAACAAGGAAATCAAAGGGAGATAACATGGGGACCAAGAAAAAGTGTTCACATTGAGAGGTGTTCAACGCAATTCAATTCAATGATTATGTGATCGATCTCTTTTTCCAGAGGAATATTTATTAATAATACATTTACTTACTCACTTACTACTAATTGGTATCCCAATTATTACATTTCATTATGATTTAAAGTAAAACCTGTCTCATTTGAACACTACTTGGATAGGCCAAAAGTGTTCAGATAAGCAGGTGTTCACATTCTAACAAGGGAACCAAGAAAAGATGACAAAATTGGGACTGAATGAAAGTGTTCATATTGAGTGGTGTTCAGATTAGAGAGGTGTTCAGATATACATGTTTCACTGTAATAAACTCACATATTTGCCTTCTGCAATGGTAGTAAATACTTCTGTAGCAGAGTTTGTAGTTCTTTCACATAGACCTGCTCAGTTTCTAGAATGTTCTGTAAGACCTGGAACAGATGAGAACAGTTTTTTGGTAAAATATAATGTGAAATTTATACCTTATTCAATATTGTAGGCAGTCCTGGTGTGATATTGATAGAGCTAATCCTATATACATTTACATTAAGCAAAGTTCATTCATCATTTTAAAAACTGGATATTTGTTGTGCCTATGATACATCCTCTTACATTTTGTCATGTTATACGTATTTTATAGTTACAATTGTAGTTTTTAAATCCAGTTTTAAGTCCAGTTTTAGTTTAAATATATGAATTATACACTGAAGTGATCAATAATTTATGAAACATATCATTAGTATCTTCAAATATTATAAACAAATGTATGGTAAGATAGAAAAAGACTTTCGACCAAAGGATGTCCAGTGATTCAAAAAAGAACAATAAAAAATCGTAAATATTAACATTATTCAAATAAAAGCAATTCTCAATTTGCCACCAGTCACATTGTATCACTATGGGTTCGTATAAAGGATAAAGACGTCACTTACAACATTGTGATAAAACATCATGCTTTCCTTCTTGTTTTGTACGACATCCCCACCTGGGACACCCGTAGGACTAGACACCCCTGGTCTCCCATCTGAAATACAAATGGAACAACCCTAGATGGCAAGTTGCTACTACAAAGATATCCTATCGTATGTTACCTGAGGGAATGGTCTTTTTTTAAAGTAGGGATGGTGTTTGTAAATAAGGACTTAACATAAGGGAATCGTCTTTTAAAGTAGGGATGGTGTTGGTGTAACAACCCAAGATGGCAAGTTGCTAATACACATAGCTAACCTAGCTAAAGTTAAGGTCACTCAGCCGACACAGCATCAGTCTAATTGGATCTGTGGGTCTTAGGTTCAATTCCCACACAAGGGATTAACATGTATGTACATTTTCTTTCACATACACTATACTCAATTCTGTCATTTGCTGGTGCCCTCAGGTCATCACACAAAGATTATTGGGTAAGCTTACAAAGAGATCATGTTTTGGACTTCAAATAATGAAAAAAGACAAACAGAGTATATTATGAGATTTTACTCTTAGCATTTGTACATGTAGTTAATAACTTACCAATCTTTATTTCTTTGACATAGTTGCTAGGAAACCAACCAGTGAGGCCTCCCAAGGTGCCTTCCCACCAACCACCATCCACAATCTGGGTAATTGTGATGATATCATTCTTCGAAAAATTCAACTAAAAAATAAAAATAAATTTTAACATACGTACAACACAAAGTAGCCTTCAAATCCAGTAACTTCTATTCTAAATTGAAAGTAGCACATACATTTGATATCCCCCCCCCCCCTGGCCAAAATTTCTTTCAAAATCATGCAGTTTTTCACCATTTAGACTACTTTTGAGTGATTTTTGGCCAATTTTGCCAAAGTGAACCCCCCTAGAATTTTTTGAAAAAGTGAAATCCCCCTTGGAAATTTCTGGCTACAGGTCATATATCCCTCCCCCCTCCCCCCCCCCCCCCCGTCTTAAGAGTTTGGGACAGAAAATAGGTAGGACAGAAAATATAAAATGTCAACAAGGGATAACCTTCAAAGACAACACGCCTCACTCTTAAGTTGCACATAAAGCCATACATTAAAGTCACTTATGTCACATTTAAGAAAGTAACAGTATGAAAGAGTGAAGTACAATACCTCATCATTGTACTATTAATTGTATTATAATATTAATTATTACTATTAATTGTACTATACCTCATCATTATTTGTAGCTTTGTAGTTGTAAACAGCCTTGACTAGCCTTGGTTGGCCTGCATCTGACATCATACTATGGCTTGCTTCTGTAGCGTAAATAAAAAAAACATTTAGCAAAACATATGCAAAATGTCACCACCTGCCATTTGTTACAGATACAAATGGCAGTTACATGAACCAGACATGGACCATCAAACACAAACTGCCGTTGGAGACCATAACAATATGTCACTACTTTTGGTGGTGACATAATAAGGTGTTAATATGACAAAATGTCCCCATTTGTACTATGGGTTGCTTCTGTAAAGCATTAACATGCAAAATGTCACTACCTGCTATTTTTTACAGATACCAAATTACACATGTGTAACCAACGTCACAGATACTGATGCCAACATTGCCAAACAGAGAAAATTCACCAGATAACGTCCTGGTTGCTGAATTGAGGGAATTCACACTCAATTATTGGAGCTGCTGGATATATTTGCTTGTGACTGACTAGGTTTTCTGCCTGGTGACATGCGAACCTTTTCTCAAATAGACACATACAGGGACATGTTATCTACATCACAAACTGGTGAAATCTTATATCTGAAATCAGGAAGTAGACTAGATGTCTAAAGATTGGCTAATTTGTACACATTACATCAAGACTAAACAAGTACAACAAGGAAAAACAATACTATATTTCAAATGTAATTCTGATGAATTTCATGATATTTTCTCGTTACTTATCTGATCTCACAACCCGACTTGTCATTGACAGTCAATCATCAAAATAGATAACAATTCTTTGCAGAAATTGGAAAATGGGAACCTCAATTATAAAAGGAAATTGCAGTCGTTATAGCACGTTTTGGCGAGTGCAAAGATTAATCAAACAATTTATACATACCTTAATAACAGTTATTCCATAGCTATTTCGGTTTTCTTGCTTGATCCACGGAGTAAACGCTCAAAATATATAGACACAAACTGTAGATTCTCTGATTCCAATATGGAGTGGAAGTAGGTCAAATGATGTAACCGGAAGTAAAAGTCTAAACATATTTTTCAGACAACCGTACTATTTTTCAGCACTCAAATTTTCCTGAGAGTACCTATGTACTATTTGACAACATTTTTTCTGTATAACATCAGGTATCTGGTACAATTAAAGGTAAGAAAGTACTTTAAATATATTGGGAAAAGATAGCTGTTACTCGTTAGAATCATGATAGAGCAATTGCTTAAAATTTTATGGATACATTATTTTGCTTTTTTACAAAGTTATGCCTTTCAAAAAAATGTAAATAGTATAACAAGGATAAATGAATATAGACTTTTGAATTTGATTAGAGATGTAAAGCTGATTCATTGAATTTCAGAGGTGTAGTATTTTATGTTTAGTGCTTTCCTAGTTTCCAAAATGGCTTCCCCAACAAAAAGTCATCCGAAAGATTCTCAAGTGATGAGCTCAATATTGAAGGATATGGGCGTTGTAGACTATGAACCCCGTGTGATAACACAAATGCTTGAGTTTACGTATAGTAAGTCATGTATTTTTGTTGAATTTATAAGGTTTTCATAGGAAAATTAGTCTTCTGGGTTCAATTTTAGAACTGAATAAGTGAATTTGATTTTGAACTTCAAATTCAAAATAATTCAAATTTTCTCCCAACCCAAGCTCAGTACGACTTACTTAGGTCGTAATCCTAATATATTTATCACCTGGATTTTCAATACAGAAAATAATCCATGGACACCTAAGAAAATTTAAAATGACAATTGTGCCATTGTGGCCATTTCAGAAAAATATGAGACAAACCATACCTCGTATGAAGTGTGTTGTAATTTTTTACCTTTTCTTATCACTAAGGAATGGTATTCAAGCAATCCTGCCTTGATAAGAGGCCAAATTAGTGGCATTTTATCGACAGGGCGGCTCGTGTCTGTCCAAATGTGAATGGTGGTCCGGTGATTCCAGAAAAGGAATGTCATCATTGCATAGATATTTGGACACACTAGAGCCCGGAACAACTGAACATTTTTTGCTGTATTTAAAGTTAATTTACTGAATCCGTAGCTTATTTACACGAACCAAACAAGTAGAAATAGAAAGATGAAGATCTCATCTATAAATTAAGTGCAAGATCTGTCATGAGGAAGTAGGTACCACTTTGTATAAGGACCATTTTGAAGGGTGATCACTTTTTTTAAATATTCCATTTAGGTGTCATATCTTCCGAATTATTCTTTGAGCAGTATGAAGTCCTATTACAAAATAATCTGGCCAATATCTGTGCTTAGGTCCAAAGCCTTCTCTATATTCTGGCTTCGATTGCAAGTAACAACAGCCGTGGTAAATCTCACAGGAGACAGGTTTAAAAAGATAAATATATCGTGAAGTATACATATGTATAGGCTAATTCACTAAATAATTTAACAATTTTTTTTCAGTAACCTGTCTTCTGTGGTAAATCATGGTGAAACACATGCAGTTGTTTCAGTAAAGTTCTTACCATGAGCGCAGAGTGTAAATTTAAACTATCATCTGAATAGTTTCGAAAAGTCTTCAGTTCAGCAGCTTGACCTCTAGTTTTCATTCTGTTTTAAAAAATCTATAAAAATACTGTGTGCCCAATGTGTTGATCTCTAGCCAAGTTGTTGACTCAAGTAAAGTTTGCACATTCACAAATCCTGATTCGGGACTATGTGTTTTCAAGCATGTCTGTTTAGTTATTTTCTATTGCTTTTGTTCTCATAAGAATTCTGTGCATTTTGCTGATATTGTCATTTTGATCATGTTCTTACTCTTAACTATGCTTGATATATATTTCCAGAGTATGTAAGAATGTTTTGAACGAAAGGCTTACCCTGTTTTTATTGCTTCATTCTTCTCATAACAGTTCTGTGTATTTTGCTGAAATAGTCACTTTTGATCATGTTCTTACTGTTAACGATGCTTGATATATATTTCCAGAGTATGTAACAGATGTACTTGAAGATGCAAAGGTTTACTCTAACCATGCTAATAAGAAACTGATAGACATGGAGGATGTTAAACTAGCACTGCAATGTAAATTGGATAACTCATTTACAACGCCTCCACCTAGAGACGTAAGTTTTTACAAAGCTTTTGAACTTTCCGAGTAATATCAAATGTCTCATCAAATATGTCATACATGTTGTTTTATATTAACAGCTATTTCACTCTACTATACCTTGCATTTGGTGTTCATGAGCAACCCATTTGGCTTATTTGTAATGATTATGTTATTTGTTTTTATATGTCTGTTCCTTATGAATGGTTTATCGGATGACTGTTAGATGTTAAAGGGTTCCGATTAGCATTCCGTATAAAAACAATATGGCGGCTCCAGGCGAATCAACTGGATCAGTTTTATACTAAAAAATACAATTAGACAAACAGAGTATCTTATGCATTCATAGTAGTGTTGTCGCGATGTGCCATAATCGTACATCGATGCATCGGCAATTTTCAGTAGTAAACATCGATGCACATCGCGATGTACATCGAGAAAAAGTTCGAGAAAAGTGCACTGAAATACCGAACACTAATGCACTAACAGTGGTTTCGGTAACTTTTTTTACAAGAGGCAGATGAGAAAAACAAGGGGCGGCATTCGAAATAACCAATCTTACACTCCCGGCAATGCAAATATTTGTTATAATAGCGTCTGCGCACCGAAAGTGGACAAATGGACAAATGCCTGGAAAGGGAATGCCTAAAATAAATTCACATTCTGATTTGCATTATGCTATTGCGTATGATCACTGATCAGATGAGTTCGGTGTAATCCACTTATTATAGTTCTTGTAAAAAATCTACTACATGTCACAAAAGTGCAAGTATGAACACTTCACCTATCGATAGATTTCAGACAATGTATCTCAAATACAAGAGTATTGTACATTCATTCAAAGTTTTGAACATTGAATCATAATGAGAGGTGATTTAAAAAATTTACTTATTGCAGGTTTTCCAAAGTCATTTCCATGTGTGATATTGTCAATTTAATTGACCACAAGACATGGGCTACACAAAATAACACCTGGAACTGTGAAATGACTAGGGCAACTCATATAGACTGCTATTTTTACCTTTAATATTGTTATAAAAATATATTATGATTTACCCTTGGGTATACAATGTGCAGGGCGCTCAATAAGTACTGATAGAAATGATGTGACTTTTTTAATTTTTTATATTCTGACTAGTTTTTCTACTGCACACTGTTGAGTATTGTACTGATGTGCAGTGAGAGTTACAAGAATGTGCTCTAACCTAACAGGAAGATTGTACTGACTTGAGCCCAAGTTGGTGCATGGTGGTTCGGGTCTGAACAAAAATATCAAAATGACTAACTTAAAAATGTGAACATTTTCATGGCATAATTTTATTCTTGAACCCATTTCGACAGTTGGTAAATTAATACTGGTACTTAGATACCTTGGCAACACCTATTTATGGCATCAATGAGCAAATTTTAAGGGTGAATTGACATCATTGCATATTCAATCACGGCAGATTGGGCAGCAGATGAAACAGATTTTTATAATAGTCTCAAAGCAGAATTGTTGTCCCCGGAAAAGCGGAATTTTCAAATCGGCCAATCAGAATTAGGCCTAGCTGCTGTATTGCAATTAACTCGCAGAGGGGTCAAACAATTGCGAACTCCACGCAGTGTATCAAATAGTAGATAGTATGCAACATTTGAAATCTGCACACGGAGTATGTGGAGGTACAAATCATCACAGATAAGAAAGTGAAAAATGAGATCCCGGGAATAAAATGAGGACTCTCATGAGACTGTAGAAGACTTTTAATCTCCCCCCCAAAAAAAACCTTAACACAATATTTGGCTTCTGACAAGCGGCGAATTAAAGAAAACAAACGGCGATTTTGGACTCTCGCCCCCTGCTATTGAAAGCCCAGACTAAAATATCGAACAGAACGAATTAATAAGAGTACGCTGGTACATCCGGGAACATAGTAACGGTGAAATGAAAGTAAAGTGATTTTTTAGATTAATGGTTCATTTCGACTAGCTAAAACAGTTTTAAAGCGAAAGAATATCAGAAAACATTTGAAAATGAAATAAGACATGAAAAAAGGTAAGCAATTTGCGTCAAAATAAGATAAGAAAGGGCGATTTTTAGCAATTTTTAAAAACATCGATGTTTTGTTTCAGACATCGATGCATCGCCAGAACCAGCTTTGGCGATGTATATCGCGATGTATTGATTAATCGCGACAACACTAACTCATAGGGGTTAGGATAATAGTAGAGTGCATTCATGGACATTGCAAGGACCAGAGATTTAATCTCTATTACACCACTTTTCCTCTCATAAAGCCATGTGTGTGTAAAAATCCTAAATAATTTCATATTACTGCTACTTATGGAGGTTTTAAAGCACAGAAATTATACACTTTCCTCTCATAAAGGCCAGCGCAGGTAAAGATCCAATGCAATGATACGTGGTATTTTATATTCCAGCTACTTATGGAGGTTGCAAGGCACAGAAATAATACCACTTTACCTCTCATAAAACCCTACACAGGTCCTAGACTTCCCCCAGATAGATACTGCCTCGCTGCGACAAATTATAAATTAAAATCTGTAAAAAAGGTAAGAAAAACTTCTTCTGCATGATTTTTTGAAAAAGATTGAGCCAGAGGGCAAATGAAAGCAATAATCATTCACTGGATGTACTTCGAAAAGAAATTCATTTTTGCATACATTATATTAATGCTATATGTACTTATTGCTCTATAAAGTTGAAAAATAAACCACTTTAATTGTATTCATGAATATCTTTACTGTTTTAGCCCAGAATGCAGGTTCAGTTACAGAGCATGTCAACAGGTGGCGCTCTTCCCTCACCTCGACTAACATTTAATACAAGTTTGGGGCAAGGTAAGCAAGTCAGCTATTATAGAGACATAAGGGCTTGCATGTAAGCCATTTGCATCTTGGTTTTAATTTTATGATCTGTTTTTACAGCATATCATAACTGGTCCAAATTTTTGGCAACTTGTCTGTATTTTTGTTAAGTTCATGGTACTGGAATCAAGCTCAGCACATTTTACCAAATTATTCCAAATTCAAGAACATTCCTAAGTGTGTTTTGTTGTAAGACATTTGTTAATTTCTTTTGTTTAACATAGGTTAGTTCATTATTCCCTGGATTTCAATGGGCACTTCTGAGTATCAATAATGACTTGAGAATAAATATACATGTTCAAATACTATGTTCATTTAAATGGGATTATACTCACACTATTTAATGTCAAAGTACATATAAAAGTACAAGGGAACACCTGTTTTCAGTGATTTTCCTTTGAAAATCTGAGTGGTTCCAATTTTGGGATTTAGGGGCCCAAATTTATTTTCTGATTTGAAACCAACCAACCCCCCCCCCCCCCCCCCCCCCCTTTGTTTGTACCTTCTGGATCCACCAGTGGATTTAAATGAATAGGAATGTTTAAAATAGACCTATGATGTTAGTGTACAGTTTTGATAGCAATATAATTATACGAATAAACTGTTAACCTCCGCATGGGTCAATAATTGTATGTCATTTATTTTACTTGCAGTTCAAAGTGGCTCAATGTCCCTTGTCTCCAGACCTACTGTTTCATATGTATCTAAACCTGTCAATACATCTAGTACTCCAACATCTGGACCAAGGCCTGTCTTCAGAATGACTATGGGTAAGTCTCAACAGTACCAAATCATGTACCTGTGTACTACACTCTGTCCAGTAATATCTGAATATCTGTTTTACCATGCAAATTGTACCAGATGGCAATGGATTGAACATTTTTGATATATTTGGCATTATGGTCATTAGTAGCTAGTATATTATATTCGCTTAGCAGCTTCTTCATTTAACCCTAGTGTAACATTTTATTTATGTACTCATTATTGCATTTCATCAATTAAGATAGGGAAATAGAGAAGCCCTTCATCTGCCTGTCTGACAAAATATTATAAATGTAATTTTAGGAGGGACTCCCCCTGTACAGTCCCAACTAACACCAAGTCAGCAGTCTGGGGCAATCACAAGTTTACTGAAACGGAAACGCGAAGATGACGATTATGATAATCCTTGACAACAGCCAATTTGAGATCCTAGACAATTACCAATAAGAAAGAGACCTTTGACAACTGTCACTTAGACAACAGACAATTATATTTCCTCGACAATGGCCTCTGAGAGCCCCTTGGCAACAACCAATCAAAATCTCTTAGGAAAGAATACGGGAAAATTTCAGTTTGTCAAAGATCACGTCAGATGTCTTCAGAAACTTACTGTAAAACATGGAAAACTCATTAAATGTGATTTACGAATTTCAATATTCACTTACATGTTAAATTCTCTTATCTTGTGGAACTGCTATCAAAATTCGATCTTTAATATTTTTGTAAAATGATCAATCTTTGATTCCTTCAGATGGTGGGCCCCTTTCTGCCTATTACCAATACGGTAACTGTGTAAGAACAATGAGTTCTTTGTTTATATCATGAACAAGTATTAAAAGATGTCACTACTGTGTAAAGACAAAATGGAAATCAATAATGACATAAATACCAGAAAAATAAAACAAATCGATTTTTATTATATTTTATTGTTTTCTTTAGGCCAGATAATTGATTTACATAAACAAAAAAACAATTCTTCAATATTTTCTTTGTGCTCAAAAATAATTTATTAATGTGGAGATCAAAGAGCGTTCTGCTAAAACACAAATATCAATCATGACTGTGTGCGGAAACTCAATATAACCTTACAAAGGAAAACAAGAACTAATCGAGCATTGACGAATAAGACACAAAATAATACAATAAGCACAAACGGATAAATTAATTAACAATTTTTATGTGTTCAATTAGATTGTAGCTTTTATAGTGGATTAATCAATAAAAGGTAAATGAGAAGCAATAGTAATGATATTTTCTAAGACAATACTTCTTATTGTATAAAATCCATACTGATCCTGTTACCAATTTGCTCTTATTGTAATGTTATAGAAAACCAGGTTATGAAAGGCCAGTAAGGTAATATTGTGAGTGTTGTGTTTAAAAAGAACATGATATTGCCAGTGTGTTTAAAGGAACTCGGTCTCTAACTGGTATCTCATGTAGGAAAAATAATTTGCAGTTCTCACCATTGAATAAAGTAGATGCTAACCTTTTTCTGTAATAAATTATGTGGCACAACACACCTTATAACACTTTGAAATTTTCACTTTTAATGTGAACTGCAAAATCTATGGAAAAGAAAGTCTATTGAGGATGTAATGCATAGCATATCTAAGTTATATTTCTGAAGCACCAGGTCATTGAGGTTGATGTAGTTTGTAGATGTTGCCATAGCAACCATGTCATCTGTCATGTTTTGTTTTTATTAAATGCCCAGTTCAAATTTAAGTTGCATTTCCTTAGCTCCTTGGCCAAGTTTCTGAGGTTGTTGCAGCTTGTAGAAGTTGCCAATAGCAACCGCGTCATCTGATAGCGTCATCCAATGACAATGCTTCATTCTGTTGAGGCTGTATCTATCTGTATCTTTCAATTGAAGTGTTCCTTTAATACACTCCTTTAGACTTGGGTGTAATGGTAAAATTTTGTCATCCGGGAACTGAACTCCGTGATCCATACGGTGAAGGGTGATTTCATTGTCGTCTGCTTGATCTGTCACCTTATAAGGTAATCTCCCAGTTGTCATGTAACATAGAGTGACACCTATTGCCCAAATATCTGTTAATTTCGGGTTATAACATCCCACATCGTAGGACTCCATTGCGTTTTCGAAATTTGATCCGATGTAGACTAATTCCGGGGCACTATATGACGACAGCGGAAGTTTTTCGCAGAGCAATGCGTCCAAATCGCGGAACTTTAGCGCCATTGTGAATCCGCTAAGTTTGATATTATTGCGACTATCAAGCAGAAAGCTGCTGCATTTGAGATCACGATGTGCTATATCTTGATGGTGCATATAATTCACTGCTTCCAAAATCTGTCGAAAGTACCTCCGAGCGACCACCTCCGTCAGGAAATCCGATTTATGATTCAGGTTCGCGTTAATTACGGTCTCCAAAGTCCCGTTATTACAGAATTCCATGATCATTAGTACTCTCCCGCGTATGCAAAGGTCATTGTAAAGTTCAACTATATTAGGATGTTTCAATTCTTTCAAGAACTTCACCTCATCTGGAATGTCAACTGTAAACATATTTGAAATGCCACCTCCCTTTCTGGCCTTCCGTTTGAGGTTTTTGATTAGGAATTTGATTGCGACGTTGTTCTGCCGGTATATGGAATACGCAAGAAGGACGCTACAGCCGCGGCTTTTATGGAGGCGCATAGTGCGGTTGTAACCAAACGTGTCCAATTCATCAAGAACGCCATCGTAATAAGGATCCCCTGAAAATATAAAAACAGGCTGTTGTAAAATCAAAATGTAATTGTATAATGAATGATATTGTATATTTGGAGTCATATAGGCCTAATTAAAACAAGGAACATCTACGTAAAGTTCACTACTACACCAGTCTGGAAGGAATGACTAGTGTTTTCATTTTTTCGATCCATTTGTTCATACATTGCACCAAGTTCAACACTAAGTTTCTTTAGTTTACTTATAAACAATAAGGGCCTGTTTAGGCCACTCCCAGAAGGATAGTTCAGATTTCGTTGCACACCGGTGATAACTGTCACCTTTATCTAATTAAGGACCTAACTGGCCGTTATGAAGCAAAAATGAGCAGGATAAAGTGCTGTCATAGGCCCACTATATAACGAATGAATATGAGGGAGACAATACGCATCAAAGTAACCGAAATGATTGCTCACTAGGGATAATGTTGCATTTTGGCTGAGTGCTTTTACCTATCAATTTGACTCCGTAGTTTCCTCTTTTGAGACCCTTGATTGGCAATTTTGCAAAGAAACTAAGCTTATGATTAATCAACATTAAAATATTGAAAAGCCATTGTTATACCATTTCAAATAGTGTTTGAGGAACGTACATGGTTATGGTCTTGCCTCAAAACTGTATCCCTGTGTAGTTCACATTTCCAAACAAATGTGTTGGCTTGGGCCGAATTTGAAGAACTACACAGGTCAGGGGGTACACAGTCTTTAGGCAAGTCTAACATGATTATTACACGTAAATATAGGGAGGTTAAACTACACGTTTTAAGAGAATGTGTGACATTATGACCATCAGGCATTACTGTCCCCGTAACAGTTGGTTTTTCAAGGGACCTTATGAGCTACGACTTTTGTCTTATTGCTTTCATGCCTTTAGACTCAAATGGACGAGTTCATACCAAAAGGGAGAACTAAAACTCCCTGGATGGCCATCATTCAAGTGTACACGTTTACGTTTAAGTTATCTTAAAAACGGGTAGCTCAACCTCCTACCTATAATTGACAATGGCTGATTTGACAACGTCTGTTTGTAAATATCAAGTCGCGTCCCGGGAATATGAAGTAGAGGCAGAGAGAAGGGGCGATTTATGATCGCACAAAACGAATCGCTTGGTGATTGAGTTGAGTCGAGATAGATTAGATATATTACCTTACTGTTATTACGTAATTCTGAAATCAGAAACTAGTGATGGGTTCTGGCTGTTGCTTAGTAATAAATACACTTAATACAGGCTTTTGAAATGTCCGTTCACTTCAAGCAATTTCTAATCACGCTGAACAGTGTTCTCCGTTGCCTTGGTGATAAATAATACCGTGACAAAATTCTTGTTTTTCTCTTCCGATAGTTGGGAGGAGATACGGATGGAGGATATTTGGAGGCAGAAATTGTATGGCTTAAAAGCATCCGCATCTCATCATTTTATTGCCATCTTTAATGGTATGTTATAAGGTATAATATTCGAAAAGTGTTACAAATTGGCTTTGTTGAGGCACATCGGCAATGCAGACTTTGAGGAGTTGTCCTATCATATTTGTATCAAATTAATTTAGAGCTCGCTGCAAATATAGCGATTTGAGATTTACGACGTATGATTCTTGAAAATAAGTGCTTCTTTACGGCATTGGTCTAATTGCATTGATGGGGTTGCGGCATCCATACACGCCTCGTATTTTTATGTTCTGTAATTGATCATCTTCGTTCACTCGGCTCCCATCGGTCGCCGATGAACGCAGTGAAGACCGAGCGTGCGAAGATGGTAATTGATTCTATATTCCTAACTTATTGAGTTACATATTTCATGGTTCGAACTATTCACTAAGCGCATATATTGCATGGTCTGAAGGGAACCTAAATTACTAAGCGGACATATTTCATGGTATGAAGGGGACCTATACCCGGGGACCTAAATTACTAGGCGCACATATTTCATGGCTTGAAGGGGACCTATACCCGGGGACCTAAATTACTAAGCGCACATATTTCATGGCTTGAAGGGGACCTATACCCGGGGACTTTAATTACTAAGCGCACATGTCATGGTTTGAAGGGGACCTTTATTACTAAGCGCACATATTTAATAGTTTGAAGGGGACCTATACCCGGGGACCTTAATTACTAAGCACACATATTTCATGGTTTGAAGAGGACCTATATTACTAAGCGCATATATTTCATAGTCCGAAGGGAACCTTTATTACTAAGCGCACATATTTCATGGTTTGAAGGGGACCTATACCCGGGGACCTTAATTACTAAGCACACATATTTCATGGTTTGAAGAGGACCTATATTACTAAGCGCATATATTTCATAGTCCGAAGGGAACCTTTATTACTAAGCGCACATATTTCATGGTTTTAAGGGGACTTATACCCGGGGACTTTAATTACTAAGCGCACATATTTCATGGTTTGAAGGGGACCTATACCCGGGGACCTTAATTACTAAGCACACATATTTCATGGATTAAAGAGGACCTATATTACTAAGCGCATATATTTCATGGTCTGAAGGGAACCTAAATTACTAAGCGCACATATTTCATGGTATGAAGGGGACCTATACCCGGGGACCTTAATTACTAAGCGCACATATTTAATGGTTTGAAGGGGACCTATACCCGGGGACCTTAATTACTAAGCGCACATATTTCATGGTTTGAAGGGGACCTATATTACTTTGGTTTTTCTCACGATATTCATATTCCATGTGCATGTATGTCCCTCATATCACATACTTGACAGCCCCCCCCCCTTCTAGTCTAAGAGTATAAAGACATGAGCTTCAAAATGCCTCACTGCGTTTCCACATTGACTTATTTGAAGGTATTAGATGGAATATAATCTTTCTTTGCGGATTATTGGATTATGGACATAATAGGTTTTAGACTCCCTCGCTATATCATTATTGTTCATAACATAGAATCCTCGGAAAAACTACAAGGTGGTCAAATTTTTGATTGGAAAATACAACTGAAAAGAGCAAAATGAGCAAGGAATAAAGTAAACAGACATGTAATCAACATCCTAAATTGTAAAAAAATGCCAAAAACCAGGCAGTTTATTCAAATTTTTGAGAGAAAACACGTATTTTGCACGATTGGAGAAATTGTTTTTGGCATGGATGTTCGTGCGATTTATCACGATAGCAGAACGCTCGAGATCGGCTGTTAACTTTTCATTTCCATATGTTAAACCAATTTGACATGGATCGTAAATCAATAGTTAACAATATAAATAGTAGGAAGTTCAAGTTGAAAAAATGAGCATGCGCTGATTTATAGTAAGGTCCTAATTCATGATAGCCTTATGATGAACATTTTGAAATTGTACACCCCTCACAAAGTTTTGAAATATAGCAGGAAGTTCAATTTGAAAAATAGAAATGCCAACGATCATGAAGTTCGTCAGAGTTTTTTTTAGAAAAAACACGGTATTTGCACGATTGAAGAAATTGTTTTTTTCTTGGATTCATAATGCTCATAAATAGAGAGTTCAATTTGAAGAAAACATAATGTACATAAGGAGTTAGAGCTTCCTTTTAACTGTTAAAGGTTGTACAAAATACATTTTAGAATCCAGTAACTAACTCTTGAAATAACTTCAGATAAAGATGATTTAAAATGTGCTGATGATTTAGAATGTGCATTTGATGATTTTTGAAAAATCGCCATTCGTAAACAGGCTTTAATACGTCAAATAAAGGAGTTGATGCTGCTAAACGTTTGAATGGGAGTGTACTTTGATGTAGAAGAGGAGAATTCTGTTACGACGCTATTTGTTGACGCCCAATTAGTGCCAAATTAGCACTTTTTCAACACAGACAATTGGCACCAAATGGAAGGTGTAAAAGAGATTGTTTATTTCGTATTGACTATTGTAGCCCCTGAATGGTTGCTAATAAGTTACGCTTGTAGACGTACGAGTAAGCCAACACATGGTGATTAATATCGGACTTGAAATTCAAATATCCCGCCTTGTAGATGATCCAGCATGTCCAAAATCTATATCAATATTGACACTATTTTTGGCTTTATCTTGCATCTGTAAAGGTTTCTCGGATAGTTTTCTCATCCTTCATTTAAAGGGCTACATTTATTTCTCAATCCATAGAATGGAGTAAAATACACTTGGATCAAGCATGGGCTCTACCACCAGGATGTATTTTTGCTTAGTTGTTTTGTGTCGTCCACCTGCCCGATTTCACGCCCATCAATACAATACGACGACAACATTATTGATGAACATAGCACTTTTTGAAATAAAAACAAACTATCCACCGTATAGTAGTTCTGTTATTCTTGAATCACTAACAGTTGGAAATTGTGGCGAAATTGCAAATTACACTTATAAGGTAATAATTATTATAAGGTTGGACGTCCATTTCCAGAAGGTTTAATTTTCCCAACCAGAATTTCAACACACAGTGGCCTAAACAAACAATTTTCATCTCAGTAAAAGCTCAATAATATTGGATAAGGAACAGTGAGGGCAGGCAATATACGTAATGCGATGAGAAAAATCTTTACACGTCACGTACGCATTTGGTGTAACAAATCACATGGCGGGGTGACTGGTAGCCTTGCCCAAGTCGGTATTTTTTACTAATCTGATCTTGAATAATAAAAATCAAGATAAGTAAAAGAGACCGACTTGGGCAAGGCTGACTGGAAGCATGAGTCCATTCTTATAGTTTTGGGAACCAACGCAATGTACTTATGAATTAACACAGAGGCTTACAGATATTTAGGATGTTTGGGTAACCTATTGCAAGATTTGAATCCATATTGTCGAGACTCGCCGAAATTACGTTAATTCTTGACAAACAGAATAAGATGGGAAATCATGATCCGCCACTCTTCCCGTCCGGATGACGAATTTTTTATGTTTTTATCACGTCCGTCGGACATCCCCTATAATTAACCAGATTTCTTTCTCTGTCACGTATTGTATGTATGTATATATTTATTGCCCTTTATATAAAGGAGATA